ATAACAACAATTAATAGCACTGTGTACAGACACCCAGTCCCTCTTTTTAAGAAAAAGAGAAGCGTCAGATCTGTGGCCTAGTGAGAAATATATATTAAAAAAGTAAACAACTGAACAGATCTTTCATCCGTTATGTGCATTATATCGTGTAAAACAAATCCTGGATGAATCGTACAGGTCCAAATTATTATAGAGGAATAATTATGATTGCTTTCAGGTGACAAATGTGAGGCTAAATTTATTGCTGAAATTAAAAATGTAAGATATAGCAATGGTCTTGAAATAAGCCCAGGGATCTGTTATGCTATAAATATTATCACAAATTTTTATCAAGAAGTAGTTAATAGTCGATGATCTAGGAATAACAGTCTAATTTGCAAAATGATGTGCTATTTGCTAGCACATCTAGCCATCTCACTAGGCCTCAGATCTCACGCTTCTCTTTTTCAACTTTCAATAAAATCGGATAGTTGCCTGGTGATCAGTGTTGATCAACATCTGAGATGTTTCAGAGAACCAACGAGCAGAAATTCACCATTTGTAAATCGCTTTGTAAAAATGTGCAAAGTTCGCAAATTATACCCCTATCATTAGACAGCATATATTACAGAGGTTAGAATGTATTTTGGTTGATCACAATGTTAAAATATAACAATCGGGTTTAGGAGTGCTTCCTGCAGTGTTTGCAAATTTCAAAGGTTGTGTAGTTACAATTGGCATGAAAAAACTTATGTGGAGTCCTGTAGCTCAGTGGTTAGAGCACTCCCTTTGCAAGCGAGAGACCTGAGTTCAATTCCAGGCAGGATGAAACCTTGGGCAAGTTTCCTTACTCCACACGCCTAATAATAATCCCTTCAAAACCAAAAACAATAATAAATTGGTCATTTTCAATCTACGACTGTTTGTGGGACATTGCTGTGCGCAATTGGCTGCCGCGTTCGCCCACAAATATACAGTCAATTCACTTTACAGTGTGTTCTGTGAAGTGCTTTGGGACGTCCTCCCGACGTGAAAAGCGCTGTATTAAATGCAATGATTATTATTATTATGTCACTGAGGCACATTCCACTAAAGGTTCCGCCTAAAATATGCTGATCATGGTCATATTGCATAGGTATACAGGTGAATTCTGGGAGACAGAAAGCAGAGAGTGGTAGTGAACGGTTGTTTTTCTGACTAGAGGGAAGTGTGCAGTGATGCTCCCCAGGGGTCAGTATTGCGACCACTGCTGCTTTTGATTTATACAAATAATCAGGACTTGGGTATAGGGAGTACAATTTCCAAGTTTGCAGATGATACTAAAATCTCTTAAATTAAATTCTTGATATTTATGTATTACATAGTATGAAACTGTCCCTATCCCTAAATAGCATTAAAAACTCTGAGCCAGGACTAATTAAGGAAATAAAAATTAGGTGCTGTGTTTGCCTGCTGTTTGTGCTGCTGCAATAGGAATAAAATCATGATCCATGGAATTTCTTTCCAGTGCAGTGTGTTGAGTAAATTTAAACCATAAATATACACGATTTATAATGATAGGGGTGTGAATATTACTTGGAAGCTACTAATATGTAAACATGTACATATTTCAACATCAAATATAATGAACAGACATATCACTGTGGATGAGCGGTTGGAAAATATTTAGAGAGAAGATTATTGGTGTTTAAAGATAATGGTGATATTCAGAATTTCGTATGCACTCAATAATTGCAGCTCTGCAAATTGTAATGGTTAAAAATGATATCTTCAAATTTCATGATGCGTAGGACTATATCATGGAACAGTGATCTGCATACTGTATTCCTTATGGATTCTTTCAAAGCTGGCATGAGATCAACTTAAGCTAGTTATTACAAATATAACTACTCTACTAAGAGATCATAAAGGACATTCTCTCTCGGATCCCCTGTAGGATGCAGTAGGCATATTCTAAGACAACTTGCTATTGTTACACCAATCAGCCTGCAATCTGCAATACGAGAGAGGTTCAGACATCTCATTGGTGTGCACAAATTTCCCCCATGCAGTTAGTGCCATCTTTATTGTGCCAGGCTTTCCATATCACAAACATCTGCTGATTCTGCATGATGAAAAGTGTAATCAATCCTTCCCACCAGGAGCCATTGTAGAAGAGCCAGCCTACAAACTGAGGCTGCCATCTGTATTTCACACAAACTGGCAGCTTCCTTCAAAGACTAAAGTTACTATTCCATTTTACCTTCCCATCAAGAGAGTGGATAATCTAAGGAGACATGGAGAATGAAATGATCCCAATAACAACACCATGAATTCAAAATACACACTGCATTAATAACTAAAGCTTCTGTTTTTTGAAAAAAAACTTTCAGTGCCTTAATTCAAAAGGTTACAGCCCACAAGCAATGTTAGAAGCCTAATAACATTTACACAGTGTGGACTGTTTCCACCTGGACATCCTGCCCCCAGTAATGTTACAGGACATTATCATTGATAATTCTGTCACTGCTAATTTTATTGGTTCAGCCCTACAGTCCACCAATTCCTCACCCTTGAGAAATCATAAATATATGTGATAATCCATGGAGACAACCTTTCAAGAAGAAAATCAAATAGCTAATAATAAAAATCGTGCAAAAAAAAAATCAAAAGCCCCATCCATCATATCCTGCTTACCTAATAAGGCTTGGGGAACCCAGAGTGTGCATTGGGATACTGCTGGAGTCTAACTAGCTAAAACCAGAGAACCATTGAGAGCCCTGTCTGGCAAGCTTTCCCGCTGCTTGTCAACTAGGACCACCCTACCCATTAGGGCTTTAGCTTGCTGTCCTGCTGCTGGACAGCTTAATGTTTACAACATGTTCCATTCAATAACATTTCATATTCAATAACATTGCAAAGTGAAATTGAGGATATGTGTGAACAAACATTAACGTTAATTTGTCATCAAACTCTAGAACTATCACATTCTCAATGTTGAATTTATTGAATGTTTTCAAATGTATGTATAAATACTGCACAAATATTTCACCAACAATTTAATATAAATTAGTCAAGTTCTTTTAATTGCTCAATTATCTGAAATACTGCAGAGTACTCCCATTAGCACTCTAAGCAAACTCCGATTCTGAAGGACCGACACCCTGACAAGCCCAAGAAATACTATGTTCTTGATCATATAGTTGAATATGATCGATAATATGGTATATTATTCACATCTCTGCAGCTTCTGTCCTCTCCCACACCAAGCTCCATGAGCCAATCACCCCCATCCTCAACCAACTTCACTGGCTCCCTATTCCCAGAGGTTAGAGTTTAAGATCCTCATCCTTATTTTCAAAGCCCTTCTCGGTCTTGCTCCTATATCTACTAACACCTTACCAACCTTCCTGCTCCCTCTCCTCAGTGGGCACTGACCTGCTGCATATCCCCCCCCATGCCCGTCTCACCTTCAGCAGTTGGGGTTTCCGCCTTTCTGCCCCAACCCCCTGAAACTCCATCCCAGAACTCCTCTGCCTTGCCCGCTCCCTTACTTTCTTGAAAGTCAGTCTCAAGACCTTCCTCTTTGGATATCCTCCTAACCCCATCAGCCTTCAGCCCCACCTCTCGATTCCAACCCACAGCTCGGGTGCAAACACTTGACTATCCAGCGGCTTGGGACATCATCCTGACTTGAGAGGTGCTGTATAAATGCAATTTGTTGTATAAAAGTAGTGACTAACGTTTAAGAAAACTAAAATAAAGTCTACCAAAAATTGGAAGTGTCGAGTCCTCAAAATGAATATTCTTAACCTGGAAGAACTGAAGCACACAAAGATAAACTTTTGTTTATTTGGTGAGGTGTGAGCCCATTGGTAAATGTCCTGCACGATTCATGGAGGAAAAGCATTGAGGAAACGGACCAGACAGTTCACATGGCTTGCAGGAAATTATCTGACCAGAAATGAAAGTTGAGTAATTTCTCCCCATGGGATAGAAGGTACCTTCTTATGTGTATGTAGCAGTCAAAAAAAATTGGAAAGAAATCTGTTTTTCTCACATAAGGTAGAATTTGTATTAAAACCAATAATCACAATATGCTTATGTTCCAAAGAGATGTTGATTTTGATTAATAACCTTACATATTGGAACACATCATGACCTGGCTTTCTAGCAGTCAATTAATTTAATCCAATGAGCTCTAACACTGCTAGATAGTGCTTGACAAATAATTTATTAACAATTTACCATCCTTAGTCCTACTCTATTGAATGTAAAGAAAGATGTGAATGAAACAAATGCCTAATAGGAAATATAGCATAGTGTTTAGTTTGGATTAATGGTCATATTAGATTCCATTCCATTGTATTAAAAGTGGTAATGAAAAATAAGTGGAGTGAGAGCAAACTAACTGTCATGCATCCACATTCCAAAATCTGTGTTAAAGCTACGTAAGGTAATGCCACGACTTCACGTGTTTTGGAATTGGAAGATGCAACGATTTTCACAAACTTATTTCAGTGAGTTCGGAGACTGGAAGTGGAGAGACCTAAAGTTGATTTAGTGGTGGCAAGAACTTAAGTAACTCTTTAGTGTATTATTTTCTGTTTTTCAAACGTAGAGTAAATTAGTCTAATTTATTTTTGCTGTATTCAACCAAGTTTAGCTGTTAATTAAAGCTGTTATGACAGAGCATATTATTTTTCAGAATTACGCAATTTAGAAAAGGAAATGGAAACTACCTAACCCTTTATAAGAATTGAGATGAGACGGAGTGGGAAGTCAGAAACACCCACAGAATAGTCAACTTCTTTGGTTATTGACCAGGTGAAATTTAACTATATAATGATCAGTACTAGTGTTAATTAACACATTGCTGGTTGCAAGTTTCTTTCCAACAATTTAATTAACAAATAGATTACAATATCTTCTACCACAAATATATAATCAAAATATGAAGCCTTTTATGCTAGAATACAATTAAAATAAACTGGTATATATGTTTTATTATAAATTTATTTTCAATTGAAAAGTCTCATTAAATATTTCTCAGAATAAATTATGAAATGTCATTCTTCAGAAAAAAATGAACTTTACTAAGTTGGATATAATTATTTCCAAAGGGTCTTTTTTTTCCAAAACACACAATTGACGAGCTTTAATTTTAAGGCAATTAACATGAAATACTTCAAATTAAGTAATTTACTGAATTGCATACAATAGCTCATCAATTTGGATGTCATTTTCAGCCACAGGAACCAATTCACAGACTTGTTCTCTGAAGGCCAATGCAATGGTGAATGGTTTTCCCTTAGGGTGCTGCAGGCAGCGAGCCAGGTACGTGTCATAGTATCCTTTTCCCCTTCCCAGTCTGTTTCCTTGTTTGTCGAACCCCAGGCCAGGCATCAAAATGAGATCCAGACCTCCTGTTTGAGGAGAAATAATTAAAAAAAAGAGAAAGACTGACTAACATGTAGAATAATAATAACAAATACAGAATGGTAATCAAGTTGATGTTAAAGTTGGTAAAATACAGAAAGTTGTATTGTCTTCCCCAACTCCCTCCCAATAATCTTCTGAAAATTAGTTTCCATTTATTATACTCTTGGTAAAAGTTTAGAAACTATGCAGTTGGCAGATCCACAACCTGGTGTGATACTGAGTCACACTGAACTTGAACATTCAATATATTTGATCATTGGATGTCAGCTAGGGTAGCAGTGGAGGTGTTGCAATTAGCCTCAGACAGTAAATCTGTGTGGATGACTAAAATTAAATTTTTTGTTTTAACCTTAAAAAATATATCTAATGCATGAAAAATCAGGATTAAGAAAAGATCATTGGGACACCAATGCTCAATCCAATAAGGCATGAATCCCTCATTTATGCTGACCATTTCACATCAAATTGTTCTTTTGCACTTGCATTATAACCGAGGTGTGCAAATTGTATTGCACATGGGCTATTGAAAACATGCGGAAATGTGATGCAGCATAAATACAATAGATGTCGTTCTCCCATTCTCCTTTTACAGCACTTCAGTATGTTTTGTGACCAATTCTTCAGTAACATTAAGGTGCAGATAATGTAATTTTGTGCTCTTCAAAGTTTGTGTGTGGGGAGCGGCTGGGAAGTGCCAGCCCTAAATCACAGCAATGCGGAGTGGGAAATAAAACCAGAGTGACAAACATACAGAACAAAAGGATATTTGAATGTATAATGTTCCTCATCTAATTGATTTTTGAACGTGATATAGTAAATAGCATCAATATCCCAACCTCATTTGTTATCCTTATGTAATGATTCAGTTCTGTTTTAAGGTTCTACTTTCCTATGACTGTTCAACAGAGAACTATTTCAAACACCCATACACTCAAAACAGATGCCTTTTTTTTCTGTTCGAGAGCAGACAAATTGTTCTTCCCCCTCTGCAGTTTTTTTTTTTTTCAAACACATCTGCCTTGTCACATAAAAGAAGCCATCAGTCATACATTGCCAAAAGCTCACCCTGAGCAACATTTTTTACTTCAGAACTGCTACCCTGTCTTTGATCAAATGTCCTGAAGTACGATTCTCTAATCTTTATCTGCCTTCGAAAGGAAAGGAGTTATTTTGCACCTTCATCTAAACAGAACAACACGAAACAGCTTTTCCAGCATCCTCATCTAATACATTCCTTCAAACTTCATTTTTTTCTTCTTCATAAGATGTAAATACATCAACCTGGTAAGCTTGAGAAACAGTACCATGCAATCTTCTAAATTTAAGAGTGTTGTGAAACACGAACACTCAAATAGGTAAATCACCACAATAATATGGCAGTATCTTCTACTGTTGTCTTACAAATTGTACTGGTAGACAGACACTGATTGATCTGAGCACCAGGGACACACCTTTCATTCCAATTAAAACATATTTTTTTGATCTGTTCAAGTGTTTACTGTCAGTGATGACATAAATTATTAATTTCATTGCTATGCCTAGGCAAAACCAGAAAGCGTTAACCAATTGCCTCGAAAATGCCTCGAAGATATTCTACGACATTACTTGATTATCAACTGTGATTTACATTGCAATGTGAAATAGACTCAGTAATAAAACCCACGGGGCGATAATAAACGATTTAGGATTTAAACAGTCTATTAATGCACCTCTCATACCATGCTCCAATTCTAGGTTATTGTTTATAATAATAATAATAATCCTTGCATTTGATATAGCGCCTTATCATGTCATTAAAACATCTCAAAACAATTCACAGGATATTATAAAATGGTTTGTGTATTTTGTGGACAAGCCCAATGAATCCTTGCATTTGGTGTTGCACCTATCATTTTAGTTCAAAAGCCACCTGAAGCTGTTTTAAGCACCAGCGCCACCTTTCGCATTCACTATGTAATCCCAATTATGCTGCTGAGCATCACAGCAAATGTCTGAATATCAGAGTCTGGATTTGAACCCAGCCTCCAGCAGCTTTCAGGCAGAGGCCACCTCTGGACTTCAAACCGCCAACAACATAAGGTCATTGGGCACAGCCCCAAAGTGAGGCAGACTGCCAAGCCAGGGAAAAGTAGCAGAAAATCATTGCACTCCAAAAGCACTTTCTAATAATCAAATACACAAGGGGCATTGCTGGCACCTGTGAAGGTGGCCCAGACCATCTGGCATTCCCAGTTGGACTGCCCAAATATGGAAAAGCAGTGGAGAGGGAGAGAAATAAAGGAGAGTCCTAGATATACTTTTATTTCTAATCCGAGTCTTAGAGACAATACGTGTTGTTGTTAAATGCATCCATAAGCAAAGGATGTAACTATTCAGGGGGATTGGAATTCCACTTTCATTTTTGTAAATACAAGCGTTTGTGGAATGCAGGATGATGTCCTTTAAGAAATTGCTTGATATAACTTTTGATATGAATCTAGGGCTTTAATGTGCATCAATGCCCACTCGCTAAGCCAATTATTTTATCTTCCAGGTACAGTGCAGCATTGAAAATCTATTCTACCATAACATCACCACTTTGATGTTGCGGGTATAACAATTTGTAACACAGTGCCATCTGTTGGGGAAAATAAATTACTTCCAATGATTTCTGCGAAATCAGTTCCAGTTAAACGAAACGCTTAAAATATTAAAAGGCAACAAAGCAGAAGCAAAGTCACGTTCGACAAACAAATATTTGATGATAAGGAATTGAAGACATGCTCCAATTGTAGGATATATGGGATGAGCTGAAGATATAAACAAACCGGGATTTATTTTCTAACTTTGCCTCATGAAAATAAATTGGCAATTTTATACAATGTGGCTGTTCATCAATTCAGCAAGGTTTTCTCATAGTTAAAAATGAATTCTGTTATTCAATTTCTTTCATCCATCCTGGAATACTTGCAATTATTTTTAAAATCCAATACTAATCCAAAGACTACCAGAATTATATATTCTTTTAAAAAAAATAAACGTCTTGCCAAAACCTGGAAAATATGAAATTGTAAAACATTTAAAAAAATAGTAAAGTCACAATCTCAGTTAGTGCATTATTCGGAGAAGGATAATCAAAAGCTTTTCCCAATTAACCTCTTGCACCTAGTCAATCCACGACTGTTTGTGGGACATTGCTGTGCGCAATTGGCTGCCGTGTTCGCCCACAAATATACAGTCAATTCACTTTACAGTGTGGTCAAGTTAGATTTCTCCTTATGCAACTGCCAGATAGGTTGAAAGGCTCTCAAATACCATTGATTATAGCAACTCAATTCAACAACAGCAATAACCTACATTTAAATGGTGCATTTTACAGAAAAGAAATATCTTGTAAGTATTTTTGTAAGACTTGAGTAAACTTTTGTACAGTAATGAAAATTAAAGTCACAGAGTAGTTCTGATTTACTAAAAGCACCTTCCACTGGAATATACAACAACAAAAGTACATTTGTAAAGCGCCTTTCACGTTGGGAGGACTTCCCAAGGCACCAAGGACAGTCAGCGTTTTGTGATTGGGAGTGTGGAGGGCAGGGGGGAAACAGGGTGATCGAAAACATGGTCGAGGGGAGGGCTCAAGATCGGTCTTGAAGGAGGCAAGAAAGGGGGAGAGATGGAGGGGGTGAGGTGGAGGGTCTGCAGGATGGAGTTCCAGTGGGTGGGGGCAGAGTGGCTGAAGGCCCATCCGCCAATATAATTATCTTTCAAAACAGTAACCAGATAAACAAACACTTAGAAATGGTAAAGAACCAGTATCAGCACTGAATACTGTACTAAGTGCTCTGAGATGCTACCCTGCATGGACGGCTCTACATAAGTACAAGTTGTGGTTGTTGTAGATCACCACAGAGCCCAGCAGAATGTGTATACACCTAGAATTATTGAAATGTATGCACAATTAAAAATAGAGGTCTGTAAATTTGATATTTATAATAGAATAATTCTTTTGAACAATTGCAGAAATTCTGTTGTTAATTGCACCAATTTCATTATTCAGAGAAAGAGTACTGGAACTTGAGAGTGTATGTGAACCTCAGCAATTGATCAGCTTGGAACTCTGCAAGTTGAATATTTCTGATTCAGATTTACGACAAACACGGTAAATGAAAGTCAAGTATGCAAGGAATACAGTATATTAATCTTATTTAAAAAGATCAGCAAGGTGAATTCAATATTACTGATCATTGCTAAATTGGTTTTATGAAATCCTATTTTGGAATGACGTTTCTTTACAAGAAACAGCAATCAATAATGAACTTATTTTTATCTTAATATATTTCAAAGCAAGAGAACCCAAACAATAATGACAGCACATTTTTAAATTACATATTTTAAGTAATAACCTGTCTGTAACAATATTTTTCAATTCAATTTTCATTTAGCAATTTAATATCTGGCACTAGCCCCTGCAATGCACCAATACAATTTCACCATTTACACTGTAATAATACTCATTTTGTATTTCAGGTGACAGGTTTAAGAGCAATATCTGTCTAGACTCAGATCCGATGAGATCCAATTTCCATCTTCCTTCACAATTCAATCATTCTAATGTATTATTAATTCTCTCTTCAGCTTGTGATTTTAAGGACAAAGGATGCTTAGCACTCCACAGGACAGAACAAGTGCAAAAGGCAATCCATTCAGTCCAATTTACCTGCCAACCTCTTCAAAATGCCTTTTTTAAGATATCTATCCTCTTGAAAGCTGATATGGATCCTGCCTTGACCACCAGTCCAGCACATCCTAGCAACCCTCTGTGTAAAACCCTTTTTTTAAGCGGTTTTATAGCAAAGGACACTCTTTATAGCGGATTCCATAGAAAAACTGCACCCACACACTTTTTTATTGTCCCATTGTTGTAGTCGGAGATCCAACCATATCCACATATTTCATAGAGTTAATAGATGTTGCCAGTATTTCACAAATTAGTCTAACTTCATAAATTTCCTGCTAATTATATTGTTCTGGCTATTCTATTTATATTGATGTGCAGCAAATGAGAAACCAAAAAATAGTGGACTCTTTATTTCTAATTTGCAAAATGGTTCCCAAAATATGCAAGGACTATTACTTTATATATTTTAAAAAAAGGAGAAAAATATGAATGTAATCTGAAGCAAGCAATGGACTGAAATCCTAACTCTACAAATTTAAACACTCTTAGTTACGACATTCATTACCAACCTGAGGCTAATGCCTCTTGCCAAGAATTGTCTTCATTAGCAGGCTGACGAATATTCCATGATGTAAGAGGAAGATTCTGTATTTCTTCAGCTGATGTGAGTTTCACCATATCCATGTGGTTGCTTCGTGACTTGTATCGTGGGATGAAGCATTGTTTCCCACGCTGAAAAATATCTTCTATTACGTCTTCTGTCTGAATCTCATCAGGTAAGCTCAGAAAGACAGCAATTCTTTCGGCATTCTGGTACTTGGGGTGAACAAAAAGCTAAGAAAAAAATCACACATTAACACTAAAAGAGATGTATCAAAAAAGCCTAAGTGGATTTAAATTAAATGTGAGACAAGCATTGAAATTGACATTCTATAAAATTGTGTACTGATTCTATTTCTAATGATGGAATCAGTACACAATTGTCCCAGTTATTACAAGAGTTAATAAAACCTACCAAAGTGCAATTTGCCCGGGGGGGTTTCCAATTATAAATTTGGTAAATTTGCTGACAAGCAAAAAAAAATCCAGTAAGAGATTTGGGTTTCGGGAAGATTTGGGATTCTACAATTTGTGTCAAAAGTAGTTGGAGAGTCCCAGGTGCAGAACCCTATCAGTTTTGCAAATAAAGGGCAGTAAAGCACCTAATCCATCTTTTCAGTACTTATAAAGGATTATATTAACCTATCTTTCTCCTTCAAATGCTCATTGCATACTGTGGCCTTTTTTTAACTTGCATTATTAAATCAAGTAATAATTATCTCTGCGCTGGCTGGGACTGCTACAAATGGAAAGTAATAGACTGTTGAATCATAATTTTTCTTTCCTTCAATAGGTAAACAACACAAGTAATATCAATTGAATATTTGACTTATTATTGACAGAGACGGGTGATTTTTAACTGGAAAATCTATATTTTGAGCTGAGTATGGAGTGACCCAGGACTATATTTTGCAGTAAAAATGCAACCCCTCTCCATCACTAAAACCTGTTTATGATATGAAACTCTCTACTCCAGGTGAAATTGGATGAGAAAATCAATGTCTTGAGTGATATTTTCTAAATGAGAATTCATCATGGCACAACTTAGACAGGACACTAACAAATTCCCATCTATTTCCAAATTGTGCCATGGGATCTTCAACATCCACTTGAACATCTCATCCGAAGGATGACCACCTTTAACAATGCAGTGGATCCCAACACTGTATTGGCGGATCTGGCTAGACTGTGAGTTCAAAGTCCTAAAGTGCGATTTGAACCCAGACGCCTTCAGACTCTGAGGTTAGAGTGCCAACGAGCGAGCCTGGATGATACCTATGTATTATTATTTACTTCTATTACTTTTAAAATTATTTTTCTAATTTGAGAATTAGAAGCATTGCGGTGTTCAGGCGTATCTTGGCATCCACTGAATTGATGTTTTTTTAAAAAAAAAATAAACAATGGCTTTGTGTCATTCGTACTGGGAAATGATTTCAATCCAACTGGTGGAGGTGACTTAGCCCATGATCAGCACCAATCAATAAAAAGATCAAACAGGCTGGACATGTCCCCTCCTCATGTTGATTTCAAGTAGAATCATTCCATGTTTACAAATATGTTCTTTGTTTACGCACTTTATATATTTAGATATAAACATACACTTAATATATACACACACTTTAAATAATTATATATTATTTAAACACATTTAAACACGTTTAAACGCATATATATACACACACTTAATAATAATAATAATAATAATCCTTGCATTTGATATAACGCTTTTCACGTCGGGATGACGTCCGAAAGCGCTTCACAGAACACACTGTAAAGTGAATTGACTGTATATTTGTGGGCGAACGCGGCAGCCAATTGCGCACAGCAATGTCCCACAAACAGTCGTAAGAGGGTGATCGAAAGCACGGTTGAAGAGGAGAACCTTGAGATGGGTCTTGAAGGTGGCAAGGGAGGGCGCGAGACGGAGGGACGAAGGGATGGAATTCCAGAGGGTGGGGGCAGAGTGGCAGGAGGTCCGACCGCCAACCGTGTGGCGGGGGACGTGGAGCAGGACGGAGCCCGCTGAGCGGATGGAGTGGGCAGGGGGTTTAGGAGGTCGCAGAGGTGGGGGGAGGGTGCAAGACCATGGAGGGCTTTGAAGGTGAGGACCAGGATCTCGAACGGTATCCTCTGCGTGACGGGAAGCCGGGCCAGGACGGGGGTGATGGGGCGGCGGAGCCCGGTGTGCGGGAGAGGACGCGGGCTGCAGAGTTCCGGATGATCTGCGGAGGGAGGAGTCGGGGGGGGGGGGGACGACGACGACAAGCGGTGAGTTTGCGTAGTCGAGCCTCGACGTAATGAGGGTCTCGGCGGCCGGGGGCGTGAGGCGGTGTCGGAGCCGGGAGATGTTGCTGCGAGGAGGGAAGGCAGAGAGCGCGTCGTGGCGCAGGTGTGGGGCAGAATGGATATAATAATGATTATTAATAATATATAATATATTAAGGATATACACCTAATGTTATTATATATATATATACTTTATGTACATATATAGAGAGAGAGGGAGAGAGGGACTTATATACTTTTGTATATAAAACCAAAACCAAAACCAAAACCAATAATAAATCGGTCATTTTCAATCTACGACTGTTTGTGGGACATTGCTGTGCGCAATTGGCCGCCGCGTTCGCCCACAAATATACAGTCAATTCACTTTACAGTGTGTTCTGTGAAGCGCTTTGGGACGTCCTCCCGACGTGAAAAGCGCTATACCAAATGCAAGGATTATTATTATGATTATATTATTATTATTATTATTTGTGTGTGATTCTCTTCACGCTGCGACACCAGAGAAGGTCGCGGCCTCGGGTGCTGTGTGTGACTGTGACTGGAGGCGGCGCCTCACCCCGCGGGGCTGTCCTTTACTGGAGGCCGAGGCTGCGGGCCTCAGGCCAGGCCCCGGGGGTGGGGGGGAGCTGTGGGGGTGTATGGGGGGGGGGGGTCGGGCCTACTGGCACATTAACGTGTGACGGGGCCTGACCTGGCGAGTGACGGCCAGTGTTTGGCTCCTTTTCTCGGCCTCGCTCAGCGCCGACACCCTCTTCTTGAGGTCCAGGCGAAGCGTCTGCTTGGCGGCTCTGAGCGTCGCCATCTCCCGGCTGCCAGGCTCCCCCCCCCCCCCCGCCTGGCCCTTCCCTCACCCACACCCCCGGGGTGGGGTGGGGTGGGGGGCGGAGGCCTAACCTTGACCTGTGGGCTCCAGACAGCAGGTAAATAAATGTGTCCATAAATAAACACGGCCCACAGTGAGCTGTCTCTGTTGGGTTCAACAAGACATTGATTCCTGGCTCAACAGTTGTCGTGAATGATAATAATAATAATAATAATAATAATAATAATAAAACCTCACCTGAACGCCCACAAAATATACAGTCGATTCGCCTTCCCCCGTCGAGCGCTTTTGAGACGTCTCAAAGGCACGATTCGGCGCTACATCGAATGCGAGGCTTAATATTATAATTATTTTTATTATTATATAGTAATAATAATAATAAGCGCCTCTCGCGGTCAAGGGGACGTCTCAAAGAGCTTCACGGGATAGGGTGTAAAGTGGAGTGACTGTGTGTCTTGGGCGAAGAGGTGTATTTCGTGTTATAATAATAATATTCCTCGCGTTTGACGCAGCGCTTTTCACGTCTGCTGGACGTCTCGAAAGCGCTCCACGGACTAGACTGTGAAGTGTATTGAGTGCTGGAGCTACGCTCCTGCCTCTGAGACAGAAGCCCCCCCCCCCCCCCCCCCCACACGTTGGGACTTGTAAGTCACGTAATCTCGGCTGATGGCACTCCCATCGCGGTGCTGGGGGAGCTCTGAGTCGTCCCACGGGTGTTGTCCTTGAGATGAGACAAACCGAGGTCCCGTCTGCCTGTTTTGTTGGGCGTTAAAGTTCCCATGATACGATTCGAAAGCAGAAGGGAGTTTCTCCCAGTGTTTTGGGCCAACAGTCCCCCAAATATAAAATTTGATCACTCACTTCATGCCTGTTTGTGACACATCGCTGTTTACATCAAGCTCGAAAGAGAAAAGGCATCTTGGATTTAATTGTTCCCACCAAAGAGTATGAATATGAATATGTGGAATGAGCCACTTGAGGAGGCAGTGGAGGGACTAAAATTTGTGAGAGCAATTTTAAGACAAAATGGTAATAGCTTTTGGCAAAAATATTTGAGAGGAATGCGAAATATAGTTCTGGGATATATTATTTTCAAATCTAAATATAAATTATCAAACCTACTTTATGGGGTTTAAACACTTATTGGAATGAACTCTGTCTGTGTCACAGTTGTTGGCTGGCTTGAGGTATGTTCGTGGAGTACTGCCAGCCTCTGAAACAAAAAAACATGAGTTTCTGTTTAAAACAATGTGAGATTTCAAAGTTGCTAACCAAATTAAACTTCATGCTCATGCTATTAAGTTGAAAGGGTTATCCTCACGTTTCCCTTATTAAAGTTTTGTTTTTAAAGATTGAATTCTATAGTGTTTCTGTATAATGCATTTTTTTAAAAAGGTTTGATCTAACATGATGCAGGATCCTTTGGCCCCATGATCCGATTCAGACTTTGCTCTAAATATTTGTGTTTTTAATAATAATCCTTGTATTTTTCTACCCTTAAAAGTTGAATGGTGCCCTATATGGCTATGAGCTGTACAAGGAACAGTATAAAGGAATATACAGTATTTTTTCTTGCAGGTGGGTTTTTAAAGACTTATGTATTTTTGGTAGCATGTAATTATTGGTGATTCATGATTAGTGAGAAACAGAGAAACATTTGTGTGACTACAGAGATAGAATCAACACAAAGTGAAGAATCAAAGAGAAAAAAAAAATTGTACAGAGATCCAAACACAAAAAAAATGGTAATTTGCTTTAAAAGTGCCTTGTTCCCCTGCTGGCCCAACAAGTTCACCTATTAAGTTGTGGTAAGGGGTTTGATTCCCAGCCTTAGTTCAATTAGCTGAAGGTAGCCAAGGCAGTAGTGTATGCGGGTAGGGTGGGCTAAAATTATCATCATCTTTTTTGGATGTGGAACAGAATATCAAACAGTCCCACTCCTGATTGTGATTCAAGGATTGTTGATAAGAGATGTGGATGATGGTTATCGCATGGGGACAGGGCTGTGACCACCCTATGGCTGAATAGGGTGTCATACATTGTCAAGGCTCGTGCATGAATAATGCCCACGAGGATGAGGTTCGATCATCTGTGTCACCAGTAGAAAGAAAAAGGAGTTAAATAGCTTACAACAACAAGACAACAACAAGATTCCATTTATTGAGCGCCTTTCACGTCGGGAGGACGTCCCAAGGCGCTGTACAGTTGGGTCAGGACCTGAGCAGGGGGGAAATGGTCAGGGTAAGGGGAGGGAAGGGAGGGAGCGAGGAGGGGGTAGAGAGTCGAGAGGGGAGCTGAAGGCACGGGTCAAAGGAGAAAGGTCTTAGAGACCGGCCTTGAAGGAGGAAAGGGAGGAGGCGGCGAAGGCACGTGGGGGATAGGAGTTCTAGAGCCTCGGGGCTGAGAGGCTGAAGGCTCGGCCACCGATAGTAGGGCGGTTGGGGCGGGGGATGTGGAGCAGACCGGAGCTTAGCAAAGGAGAAGGACAAATTGTGAAGAAGAAGATAATGAATGGCAAATAGGGGATTCAAACCAATTTTGCTTGTGTTGCCCATACAATCTAAAATGATTCATCAATAGTGTATTTGTAGTGCATTCTTCAATGATTCATGCCCAATTGTCTGGTGACCCACAAGTGTGATTCTCATCTGTTCCAGATTCTCTTATCATTTCTGTTCAGTTTTTAACAACCTCCTTTTCTCTCTGTATCGTGCAAGTATGCTGAATAAATTTGCCTTTGACACTTTAGTAATGAATACAATGAAATTCTCTGTCGAAGCTTTTGATTCAAAATTGATGTTGTATTTCACTCTCCAGTTGTTTCTTGTGCTTGGTCTCCCATTGCCGGCATAGCTGACCACTCCTGTAACATTAACAAAACAATGAAACAATTTATACATTTTAAACTTTGAAGTGGGCTTCCCAATTGTGTGTTGCTTTAATTTCATTGGGCTCAGAATAGGCCCTAATATAAGTGATGATATGATGGTATGTCTTCAGTCCAGGATTAAGATAGTTTATATCTTCTTTTGAGGCTCAGAACGATGTGACAATCTATATCTTCCACCACGTTCCAGAAAGATGTGATAGTCTGCGTCTTTTGTCCAGGTTTAGATCAATATTATAGTCTGTGTTTTGCCCGGGTTCAGACCTTCCTGAACCATTCAAAGAAAGAAGGCAGTATAAATAAAATAATCAACAAGACTGTGCAACTGAGTTTTTTGTCCAGTTTCCACATGTAAACTGTCTTCACCTTGTTGTAACAGGGAGAAATGGCCTACTCCTCATTTTTAAACTTTCAACTGGATTTACTGAGACATATATACAGTTCGGGTAGGATGTTATTTATATTAGCTGTCGCGTATCAAATTACCACATTTTCTGGCAATATCTGTATTGGTCACTTAAAGAACAAATAACACTAGCTCGTTCTTGTATGTACAATTATTTATTATATTCAGTGTTTCACTGGATTATTGATTCTGATACAAAATACTAATACTTATATGAACAGAATATTTACTAAAACGTAAAAACCTGTATAAACTTTGAGATTTGGGATTAGATAGTTACATAGAGCTATTTTTACTCTACATACACTTTTCAATATTAACAAACACCAAAGCACATATTTTCTTGGAAACAGCAACCAACGTGAAGAAGACATTTGAATAGTTTAGATAGGAAATCTGAATATAAAATTACATTTCTTGGTAAAATATCCTTAATAGGCTTCAAATATCGTTCAATCTTCCATTTTCATCAGTGGAAGATTCCAAAAGACAATGCAGCAACAATCCCAGTGATGGCGAAGAACTTTGTGTAGGAATATTTTGTGTCTCTGCGTTGAAGATATTCCACAATTCCATTTTCCTATTTTTTTTGAAAAAGACAATTAACAAAATGCAGTAGGAAAGGAAACAGTTTTTTTACCATTATTAGGCACAAATTAAAATGTTTTCCAGACTTCGAATCACATAGTCTAAGCTATATGCGGGGGGGGGGGGGGGGGGGGGGCTGGTGGTGTTGCATTGTTGGAGATGCCGTCCTTCAGATGAGACGTTAAACCGAGGTCTCGTCTGCCAGTTCAGGCGGACATTAATGATCCCATGGCACTATTCGAAAAGCGGAGGCAGTTTCTCCTAGTGCCCAGGCCAACAATCCCCCAATGATCATTCACTCCATGGTTGTTTGTGGGACATTGCTATGCACAAACTGGCTGCCACATTTCGCCCACAAAATACACAGTTAATCCACTCTACAGTATATCCTGTAATGCGTTTTGTGACGTCTCGACAACGGGATAAGGCGCTATATCGAACGCAAGGATTATTAGTTTTTATTACATGGGTAGATTCTCTGGTATGTAATAAGAACTTTGATTAATATAGAGGCTATATTATTGAAATGTCAAAGCATCGCAGCAAATGTCAAGTGTAGTGACTGTATGTTCGCAGCCAAATACATCAGCCATGTTGCGCACAGCAAGATTCCACAAACAGCCGGGGTGGGGGGGTGGTGGGGGGGGGGGGGTGAGTGACCAATTTCATCTGGGGGAGAGTCGCCTTACTCCGCACGTCAATTACAGTAAACGCCCGATAACTCGACCCTGATTTAGCTTATCCCGGCCGCTTAAGCCGGCACGCCGTCGATGTCCCGGCCGCAATTATTTACATACTCCTACATCCGCCCAACTCGCCGCTCCGGATAACTCGCCGCTCCGGATAACTCGTCGCTCCGGATAGCTCGTCGCTATAACCAGGGCTATCCGGATAACTCCGGACCACCCTTCCGCTTAAGACCGATGAGCCATCAGGAGGTGACTGAGTCGAGAGGGAAGCGGTGGCAAAAAGGCCGGTGAGATACCAGCCCCCACCACCCCCCCCCACACCCCCACCACCCCCCAAAAAAAAAAAACCTTCTGGGGCTTGAACCCACAACTTGTGAGACCCACAGTGGGAGGGGGAGAGTGTGGCAATTACAGCAATACATGTAGACAATTACATTGCATCAAACCCCCCCCACCCCCACACCCCCACCCACCAATATTTGTGTCACGCAAATACGTTTACAAAACAAAATAAACGTAGAGACAACAATAATTTTTAAAAAAGAGCTCCCGAGAAGCCCCCAAAACCTACCCAACCGCCGTTCTCTCTGATCCATTCAGCTTTGTGGGTCCACATGTAGTCTGCGACGGCCTCGGCCACCCCCTCGATCGCGCCCCCCGGGGACTGGGGTCCCGGGGCCCCTTCCCCTTCCCCTTCCCCTTCCCCCCCGTGCAGCCGCTGGACCAGCGCCCCGCAGAAGGCGAGCAGGGCCACCACTCGCCCCCAGTTGTCCTTCCCGTCCGAGTACATCTCGCCGGCGATCCCGGGCAGGAGCCGCTGGGCCTCCCGCGGGGAGCGCAGGCCGAGCTCGGCGACCCACCCGGCGAAGTCCTTCTCGTGCGCTCGCAGCGCGGCTCCGGCTCTGCGCAAAGACGCGGCCGCGGGGTTTGCCGCAGGCGGACAGGCGGCGCCTCGGCAAACGTACGTGAAGTAATCCTGGGCTGAGGAGCGGATGCACTCCCTGGTGGTGGTGGGGCTGCTGCTGGTGGGGCTGGTGGGGCTGCTGGTGCTGCTGCTGGTGGGGCTGGTGGTGGAGCTGCTGGTGGTGCTGCTGCTGGTGCTGCTGCTGGTGGTGGGTTTGAAGTCCATGTCTGCCCCGGGTCTCCCTCCGGCTCTGGTCTGTGCGCTCTGTCCTGCCTTTGCTTCACCTGAGTTGCGCTGCTCAGTGATGTACCGGGTGTGTGGGGGGTGTGTGTGGGGCGCAAAGTTTCCGTGACACAACCGAAAATTCCTATGATGTTAATCAGGGAAGTGAAACCCAAACAAACCACACACACACCCCCACCCACACACCCCCCACCACCACCACACACACACCCCCACCACACCCCTCCACCCCCCCCCAACACACACTGATCGGAACACCCCAACTCGAACCAAACTTTCCGCTCACTAAGTGACATAACTTCTGCGCGGTTCGCTTTCGGTGAAATCGACCACTTCGCTTTTTTCCTTTGCAACAAAAAAATTCCTCAATTGAAATGCCAGTGTAATTGCATCTATTACTATTATTATTATTATTATTATTATTATTATTAATAATTAATATATTACATGTAATGGATTACACCAATGCATTCTCGATGGGTCGAGAGATTGCCTTTTTAAAGTTATACAGTGAAACAAAATCCGAGGAAGACACAAATGGCTTTGGAAGAACATTTAATACAGTAGATTGAATCCATGTTTAATATTTAATCCAAATATTACTCTTTTTTTTATTCTCTCCACTTGGGCCTTACCTTACCCCACCTCACCATTCTCCAAACACAAATTGGCACTGAGTAAGTAAGTAAGTGGTTCCAAGCCTCTGCCAATATAATATAACCCTTAAAGCCGTTTATTGTAGCCGCGATTTACAGCCTTGAGAATATCTTTTAAATTTTAAGGTTCTTGACAATTCGTAAATATATTCAGTTCGGAAGCTGGTTCTCTGAAGTCCTCTTCATCAACGTGATTTATTTCCCCCCACAGAGTACTTAAAGAAATTGATCGGTTGCCCAAATTAAAACATCACATGAGATATTTTCTTTGCACAGTATTTTTAAACATTATAGATACTTATTTGCCCGGTATTAATGGAAAGGTGAGAGGAAAATAATTCAGAGATTGCGTTTTCTCTCCCAGGTTATGCTGAATGTTTTGAAATTCTTTCACCTTGTTCACTGACAAACTAACTGTACATGAAACAAGAACAACAACAAAATTACATTTGTATTGCGCCTTTCACTTCGGGAGGACGTCCCAAGGTGCTGGAAATGGAATTAAAATACCACAAAAATGTCAAGCAAAACATAAACTTTGTAACACAAAACCGTAAATTTCAAAGCCGCCTTGTTCTAATAAAGTAAGAACAATAATTGATGAGCGTGTCAGGGCCTGCAGGAAGCACACAATGAGTTCTTAGGCTCAGCTGAGTTACATCAAAACTTTCCCAGACACCGAAACGGAAGTCTTTTAACTGTCACTTTGTCGAAGCTGGAGATATTTGTGAGTATTTCCGAGAACGCAATGGGGCCACCCACTCGAGAGTGTGAAATGACATACAAATACATTCACCCACACAGCATAGTCATTCTAGCATATAGTATATCCTGTCATGTGCTATGAGATGTCTTCCTGGTGTGAAAATTTCCATAACAAATGCACCAGTCCATTAAAGTGTGTGTTGTTACCGAGGGGTCTGGTTTTCATTCAAGCCATGTTGGATGATGAACACTGCAACAAATCGATTACTTTATCAACGATATATTAATGATCATAAAGGAGCAAGCAGACCGTAATTTAAAGCATGTGTTACATACAAGAAAATGTAGAAATGTACAGTATAAGGATTCTTGTGCTGAAATTACAATTTAGTTATATAAAACAAAATAATAATAATTTGGTCGCTCGGCGACTGTTTTTGGGACAATGAATGGCAAAGGGAGCGCCCGGCCTGGGTGAAGATTTGAGGCGATTGCATACAGTCCATCACCTATCATACAGCACTGGAGGCCAAATACATTGGCTTCCTTTCCCTCCAGGAGAAATACTACTAATAATAACAATCCTTGCATTTGATAAAGCGCCTTATCACGTCTTCGAGACGTCTCAAAGCGCTTCACAGAATATACTGGAAAGTGAACTGACTGGGTATTGTGTGGGCGCAACGCGGCAGCCAATTGCGCACAGCGGAGCCCCGAAAAAACAGTGGCGGATTCAAGGGACCAATTTCATTATTATTATTATCAGTAGTATTTAAAGAAAGAAAGAACTATGACCTCGATCCCCTGGTGGTGATGGAAAGGAAAGGCCAATGTATTTGGGGCTGTAATGCTGTGATGGACAGTGTGACAGGTGACGGGGACTGTATTACAGGCGTTGGAGTGAGTGAAGTGAGTGAGTGAGTGAGTGACAGGACAGGTTGACACGCCCCCTCCGACGCCGTTGACGTCACCTGCCCCCAGCAGCCAATCCGGAGCCCCTGCGCTCCGCCTGTGACGTCACGGCAGCCTAAGAGGGCCGCTGTGGCTCTTGACAGCGACAGGGAGCGGGAGCGGCCTCGAGCAGCGACAACAAGGGAGCGGAGGGGCCGGGCCGTCCGTCCGGGCTGGCGGGGGGGGCGGGTGGGGGGCGGGAAAAAAAAAACACCCCACAGCCACCGCTTTGGTCGTCGTTTTTTTTTAAAAAAATAATTAATAATAAGAACAACAGCAACAATAATAATATCACCATCATCATCATCATCATCATATAAAAAAGAAATATTTTCTATTATTTCGCTGCCGGAGGTAAGGTTTGCGACTGAGTATGTTATGGCTGTTTGGAGGACGGTTTTGTTTCGGGTGGCGGTTGGTGGGGGGGGTGTGTGTGTGTGGGTGAGGGGGGGGTTCAGTGAGAGTTGTGCTGAAGACCTGGTCAGAGAGGAGGAGGAGGGTGAGGGGTGGGTGAGGGGGGGGTTTGGTGGCTCTTCCTCTTGTGTGTTGCCCAGTTCTCTCTCTCCCTCTCCTTCCCTCTCTCTCTCTCTCTCTCGAGTCTCCTTTGTCGGTGTCTCTCTCACACACTCTCTCTCTCTCTCTCTCTCGGCTCAGTTCAGTCTCTGGGCCTTTGCTTTGCTTTGCATTGCACTGTCGCCTCAACCTAACCTGCTGGACGAGGTGTCAGCGGAGGAGGGAGGAAGGTGGCGAAGAGGGGGGGGGGGTGGGGCTTGAACGAATGATTGACGGCGCTGCCGGCCAATCGGAGCGAGGCCGCTGGGTGCCGATTCGGAGAGGGTGGAGGAGAGGGCGGGACGGAGTCGACGAGCGAGTTAGGTTGGTGCGGGAGGAGGCGGTGGTGACGGAAGTTGCTGAATAACCTCAGTGACACAGGCTGTTCAGGCCGCAGAGGTTTTCCATTGCGAAGATGTTCGCGTTTCATTGAGGCTTTCTCTCTCTCTCTTTTTTAAAAAAAAACAAAAAGGCCAGTGGGGAGGGGGAGACAAGATAGCCACTTCCTATCTCACAAGGGCCCTGACCTGCTCAGCTTCTGCAGCAGCTTGTAGTCCATGTCCCAAAGGATCCTCTTTGATTTTTTTATATTATAATAATGATTAATAGTAATAATGATGATGATCCTCGCACTTGGTATACAGCACCCCTTTCACGTCTTCGGGGCGTCGCAAAGCGCTTCACAGGATATACTGCAAAGTGAATTGACTGTATATTCTGTGGGTGAAATATAAAGCCACTTTTGCATTCCTGATCAGGCAAGACATTAAAATATGTGAATAACAAAAAGCACCCTCCATTCGTGTGTGATTTTTCTTATTCCCCCAGTAATGTCATCGCAAACTACCTTCTTCCCACCATCCCCTCGGTGGCTGTGCCTTCCTTGTTGTTGATGACTACATCCTTTTCACAATGTTAAACTGGATGTTATTGTTTCCTGATCCTGGTTAGAAGTGTTCCCATCTGTTATTTACGACATTGAAGGGAGGGGGCAATGACGTTTTTAATACCCCAAAAAACTGAAGGCATCGTTCTGGCTTTGGATGTAGTTAATTATGCTGTGAAAGAGTAGAATAAGACAAATTTTGAATGCTAGTTAATTTAAGGGGGAGTGGGATTGATTTGGATAGCTCTTTCCAAACAGCCGGCACAGACACGATGAGCCGAATGGCCTCCTGTGCTGTACAATTCTGTACAGTGATCTCTATTTAAATTATATGTGTCTAGATATCTCGAGATAACAAGTTAGAACTAGTTATGGCCACAGTTGTGTAACCTCTGACACTCGGTTGCGTGTGAATATGTGGGAAATATGCATTGGGTTTTGGCACCATTGAAACTCCACATCTCTGTTGGGGAGGGACTATAAAAGACATTCAATATATTGTCTTGTGATTTATAGTATTGTCAAGGTATAATCATCTGTACGCTGATTGTTCAAAATTAATTCAATATTAGTTGGTGATGTGACAGTTGTGAGATGATTGTATTAGTGACAGATAAACATGTATTTGTGTGACTGTTGTGCTCTATAGATTGGAAAATCTGTGTACAGTTGAAAGCATACAGGAAAACAAAAAAAAGACTGTTTTAAGGGATATGATAAAAGTAGCTTGTTTTGGTATTTGTCTGAAAAATTGAATTTTAAATTGTTGGATGTGGTGTAAGCCACAACGTATATATGAAAAGAAATTGAGTTACAATGTATTGACTGTTGTGGGTTTCAGTTAATATTATTGAACAGTTATGGTTAAATGGCTTGCAATTTGTTGTTGGCTGTTTCTTTGTATAATAGATAATGTACGCGCTCACCTGTTACTTCATCATCATGTTTTCGTGCTAATCATGATGAGGTATGAATTGTAAATAATAACAATAATAATCCTTGCATTTGATATAGCACTTAATCACGTCTTTGAGATGTCTCAAAGCTCTTCACTGCAAAGTGAATTGACTGTATATTTTGTGAGCGAATCGTTGTAATAAACCTTTCATAGCTTTAAGTAGCTATAGAGATGTAGAGCAAACATTCTTTATCTGTTTGACCCCAATCTCCACACCATTGCTGCATCAGTCTGATATCTTCCCATTTCTTGCATTAGTATTATGATCTCTTGATGCCAATTTAGTGCCTGAATGCACCCAATGAAATTCGGAGCTGGATAGAGAGTGCAATTGTTTGTGGTGTATCAAATGAGATTGTTATATAATTTTGCAATTGAACTGAACTAATTTTCTTTGGGAAGATGCACTTAATATCAATTGTTCAGGTCTAATTGTGTTGATAAAATCATTTGAAAATTAAATTATTATTCTATAACGATGTTGGATCTTTCAGACTGTTAAGCTGCTTTCCTTGAGAAAGGAATAAAAGGATAAAAATGTTGTGCTTTAAATCTAATTAGTGTACTTATTAAAAAATATGGATAATACTGTAGCAGTGAAATGAACAAAACTCAAATGCAGCCTTTAATGTTGTGGTTAACTAATCTGTTTCGTTTTATGAAGTTGCTCAGTTTTAGTGTAACTAACTAATAATTGCTACCAATTTGCTATACTGTCCAGAGGTGAGGAGAAAAAATGTGAAATCGTTACTTTGGAAAAAAAGACTCGATTATCTAGCTACATGGCAAGGTTTGTTGGATGAATGTATTGGTATTTCCCAGTGACACGTTGACAACCGACCAATTATTTCTGTTGTCCAGCTGGTAAACTGAAGCCAAAAATTACTTTGGTGTTTTGTTGGAACAGCAGGCTACTGTAGAACAGGATCTGATCAACTGAATCAAATGTCCGTATGCATTTGACTGAGCTAAGCCTATACCAAATAGGCTTGAAAAGAAAGTTACAGTACTTGCTTTTGCTTCAGTCTTCTGTTGATTAATTAGTACATATACAGAATGATTTTAAGTCATGAATTTCTCTTTTAAAAAAAGTTACTGTCTTTCTGTAGTGTTGTTTATGAAATTTATTTTATAGCCTGACAGTATTTTGAATGATAAACCGATTGACCTTATATTAAGAATATACTGCACGTGAAATCTTGTAAATATAGCATCGTTGGATTTTTTTGAACAAATGTTCTTTTACAGTGTTTCTATTCTATTTGCTTCATTGAATTTGTTGAGCAAAGGTTTTATAGATCGATGTTTGGCTGGTTTGTGAAAGTTTTAGAAAATCTGTCTGCCTAGTAGATATATTTTCCCATGTACCACCTTGTCAAAATCATCATAAATCACTTAGAACTTCATTTGAAAAATTATTTTGAAGGTGGCAAGATTATCTTTAGTAAAGTTATACCTGAAATCCTGGTTCGAAATCCACAATTCATCACAATTGAATGGTAGGGTGAATGAGATGGAGAAGTGAATTGGTTTCTTTCACGTAACAAGCTGGAAGGAATAAAAGAAAAGATCTGATGTACATCTGCCACTTTTTTATTCAGACTTTATTGGCTGTAAATGGCACAATGAAATTTTTTGCCTTTCGTATGTCAACTTCCAAAATTGTTTTCCTAATCATCCAATACCAATAGCTGAGACCTTCAAATATGCCTGAATATTCCTCTCAACCTATTTTCTTGTTTCTGCTACTGTGATTTAAATAGTGACAATTATGGGGAAAAAAACATTCAAAGGCTGTGTAAATGCACATAGTAAGTTATTGGTGATATTCTCTTCACATGTGGAATCATGGAATGTCTTTTGTAGTTTTGATCCAATGTCTCTGGAGCCATAGTCCAAAAAAAGCCAGTATTTAGGGATGTACACAGAGGGGCAAAAATTACCTGTATGAACATGAATTGTGCACTCTTAAGATCCCAATGCTCTTTAATTAAAGGTAATTTTGCCAATGTGCTGAATTCATTTCCACTGAAAATAAGATACTATTTAAAGTGAAAAATAAGTTGAACAAAAGGCAGAGGTTTACAGCCACTTTAATGATGTATAGCTTATTTTAGATTGATTATAAAGTGGAAGGCTGTGTGGTCAGATTGTCTAAAACTTCTGGTAGAAGAATGAAACTGAGGCAAGTTTCTTAAGTTGAAGTTGAGCCGAGCTACGGAATCTTTGCTCTTCTTGTTGGCTTGTAACTTACTGTACAACAATGATAAAAGCTCAAAGTAGTGTGTGTGCTTGGTGGCTGTTGGTGAATGATTCATATTGTGTGTACTGGAATCTAATGATGTGGTAGTGATAAAATAAAATGGTGGAGGGTGCTCTTGCATCATTTTAGTGCTACTCATAATTAGCAGTTCGATTAGAAAGGCCATAATATGGCTAGTGTGGTGCATGGAAACCTGACCAGCTTTGATTTTTATGATATTAATTTTAGTATATTTATGACATTTTGGAAAGTTGAGGAAATGGGAGAAACTTGTGTTCTGAGTGATTTTGTTTTTAAATGTACAGGCCAAAACTTTTATCTCACTTATTAAATTAGGGCCTAAAGAAGCTTAGTTGCATTTTTGTATCGAATGTAAGGATTGTTGTTATTATTGGAAACTTTGATTTGTATTTCCAGAAGCCGTTTAATTTATGAGATTTGCAAAAAAAAAAAAAGATTTTTATTTCTAAAAGCAGATGTCTTAACGAAAGGCCAACAAGCAAACCACAGACCATTTTGATTGCTGGCTCTTTTACCTGTTCATTTTCATTTCTATTTATGTTTCTGTTCATTTATATTCATATTTCGCCCACAAAATATAGTCAATTCACTTTACAGAATATTCTGTGAAGCGCTTTGAGACGTTTCAACGACTTGTAAGGCACTACATCAAATGCAATGGTTATTATTATTATAGCCCTTATCCTTGCACCATGGGAGATTTTATTTTAATGACGCAATCTAAAATTCACAAACGTCTAATTAGCCCAACTAATCTATTTTGTGAATGATGCGAATTGGGCCGCATTGAATTTTATTTTGTAAGCATGAAACTGAACATTGGGATTAGTCAAATGTATTGTCATGAATTCTTACACGTTATACTTTGGTAGCCTGCTGAAAAACAATATAGGTACACTGAGGTGCCTGTTGTTGTTCAATAATGTTAGAATTGTCTGGTGTTGTCTTAAACAAAGTTTATATAGACTTCATTTTATTTCTAGCTAAAACGTAACAGCATTATGCTCCCTACTTCCCAGACATTCATTTACTTCTAGTTTGTTGATTACTCATCATTGACCATGCTTGTAGCACGTTCAGAATCTAATATTTTTCCCTTTTAATGTCTTTTAGTTCTTACCAGAGACTCAATCCCACTTCCGACATCCTCAATGTCAATTAAATGAGGATGTTAAATGTTTTTAGATGGAAGAAAAACCCAAGAAGTCCACGAGAAAGAAACCTACAAAAGAAATCCTTTTTTGAAAGTACTATGACAAAGCCAACTTGATAATAGTGTTGTATAGTGTATAACATTTATTTTGCAATAAACCAGTATATAGCTTTTACTATACCACAACAATAACAAATTGTATTTATGTAGTGCCTTTCACTTTGGGAGTACGTCACTGGTGCGTGCTCAATCCATTCTGTGGAAGATCTGGTGTGTAAAGAATTTATTTACACTTTCAAATTAAAATCTTATGTTTCCTGAGTTGAATCCTGTTTTAAGTTCAAAAGCAGATGTTTGGTATAAATGATCATAATCCATACATTTGATACAGTGAGTCACCTCATCAGCATCTCTAAGTACTTCACAGGATATGCTGTAAAGTGTAGTGATTGTGTATTTTTTGATGGGTGTCAGATCATAGAAGATGAGAACGTCTGCTTACAGGATCGGCTGGGAAACTCGAGGAGAAACATTACTCCCCAAAAAACTAAAGAACAACACTTTATGCAACATTTACACCCAACATTTAATCTAGTATTAATTTCCACATTTAAAGATCCATTGTACATTGTGGAGTAAACACCATGGACTGGTTAGGCCAAGTGGCCTGTTTTCGTACTCTACAATGTTTGTAAATGTAGAGCAACCCTAGTCCAGAAGGAATGGAAGTTCCTTCACTATGTGAAACCGAGAATAGAAATAGCGGAAATCCAGATCAAGTCAATCATTAACTGATCTGAAAGAGAAAGTCAGGCTAACATTTTGTTCATGAACCTTTTATCAGAACTAAGTTTTGGGCTTGGGAGCCTCTTTAAAGAAGCTGCTCCCTGAAAAAAATCGAGATAAATGTTTTCCAGTCATTAAAACCGTGGAATGTTAATGGCGGTTCTACAAAAGCAGATGCAAACAAGAGGTGTAAAATATCAGTAAGGCTCAAGGCGGAAGTTTTTTTTAGAAAAATATATATGCTAAGGTTACATTTTTTTATTGAAGGCTTTGAGGTAATCGGTAAGGTATTGTTTGAAATAATTTGAATTGAGTTTAGTGGAACAAAGTAGGAGCTTAACGATAAACGCATTAGAGTTGGAGTTGCAGCTATAGGGAGAAGAATTTAGCTTTTGGGCAGAAATAAGTGTTTAGAATCCGGTTTTATAATGAACGTTGGTAGAAGCCCATTACTCAAGATGGAGAGAAGAGTCAGAGATAGATCCAAGTGAAGGTGAGGAATTGGTGGAAATGAGTCTGTCATGTTTTTCACTCAGATTTTATCTGCATTGGCTAGTGTGTTGTGGTTGGGGCTTGCTGACATGACATCACATTGACTGACAGGTACCCTTGTGCTTACAAAACAATAAGTATGAAACCTAAGGGGGGTAAAGCTGACTTGCAGTTGGGGGCACAAGGAAGGAAAATTTCAAGAAAGGTAAATGCTGGGAGACTGACTTTGCTCCAAGGACTTTGCTGAATCTGTTTTTGAGCTTACTGGCGAAGAATTATTGAACAGAACCCTGGTACCAGATGCTCCAAATTTATCCATTCGTAAACTTTAGTAAATGGAGGAACTATTGTAATTTTTGTTTTCTACAGTCCTTTGTGAGTATATTTTTTAATCATGTCTTGCATGTGCTGCAAGCGTTTTAGTTTTCCGAAACCAAACGGATTGCTGAATCTTTGAGGTGATAATTTCCAGTTAGTCACATGGGAAATTTGTGCCAGTATCACTTCCTTTGTACTGAACATATGATCTACATTATTAATCTCTGTAGAATAAGATTTTATTTATACAGGAAGTGATGCTTGTGATTAGATGACTATTCGTTTCACAATTTTTATTAATTACTTAGAACGCACAGGGAAAATTAAGAGTTATAATAAGTCTGTAGTATTTGTTTTCTAAAATTTTAAAATCTGGAAACCAACAGAGAATCCTGTGACATCTCCAACCATTTGACAATGATGCTGTGAATAAATGCAAACAACTTTTACCAGTCTACATCAGTAATTTAACCACAGACCTTACAACAAAGATCATAAAGTGATGTTATTTTTCCTAATTATAATGCAGCTTAATTGTTGTGATGATTCGGCTATCATTTTATTTCTCAATGGTTTCTATCTTTTTTGACAGGTTTGTAGGAGGGATATGGCTCAAGAAACCAATCAGACTCAAGTGCCTATGCTATGTACCACTGGTTGTGGATTCTATGGTAACCCACGCAACAAATGGCATGTGTTCTGTATGCTATAAGGACTTTCTTCAAAGGCAAAACAGTAACGGCAGGATCAGCCCTCCTGGTAAATACCTTTTTTGCTAAAGGAATTGTTTTTTGAAGTAAGCTGTGTCCTGAATTCATTTTAATAGCACAACCTATAGCACTTTCATTGCCAAGTTATTTTAGTTTAATTGAATATTTAGGCTCTGGTGGGACTGTGAGGGAGATTTGTTTTTGTACATTCTAAAGACAAACTCTCTTATCACAGAATTTGATGTGCTATAAAGGAAAGCAGTTATTGATTCACAGAGCATAATATTCCCTTGCAACAAATTGAAGATTAATTTTGTTTCATTTTAAATCACCTACCAGTCCGATTTTTATCGGATCATTGTGTATTTGGATGTCCACAAAGGAACCAATCAGAACAAAACTATAAACCTTGTATTGCAACATAGTATTTTACAATATAGTTTGAGTACAGATTAACTTATTTATGCTTTTGCACAGCATCTGCTAATTGCACCAGTTTAGCAGAAACCTATCCTGTTCAATGTACAGAAGGGAATCCCCCAGAAGTACCATCATCATTCTCTTCATCTACATCTGAGCAGTCAAGGTAAGTGAGCAAAGCACTTCACTAGAGTTTTCTATTACGAGTAGAATAGCTTACTCTCTGATAAATTAATAGGAAAAACAATGTTTCTCACTCACTTAGAATAATGAAATATTATGTACAAGCGATGCTTGGTAAATTTTGTCTTGCATGCATCGAATTATGTAAACTTTAAGCATTCATCTGAATTATCAAATGCAGCAATTGTGAAATCTGTAAATCATTTGTTCAATCACCTGTTTTTCTCTGTCTTTTGTTCTTTAAAACTGTTAGTGGGAGGCAGTCTGGGATCAGATATAGCAAGGATGAATCGAGAAACCCAGAGCAATATTTTATCTACTACCACCACCTTTATGGAAACATGAGAAGATTATAGTACACGGGAAGAACATCTGGCACATTGTGTCTGCTGATTTAATACAAGACAGAGATAAAGACCAACTACCTGAGCATAAGTCCGAGACTCTATTAGTAAAAACATACTAGACCTACAAATTGCAGTCACAATAACCCCAATAATTGACAATTATTTAGGGAAAATGTAAATTCTAGTACAGAGCTCCACACAACAACAAAATTACATTTGTATAGTGCCTTTAATGTCGGGAGGATGTACCAAGGTACTGGAAAATAATTGTTTCGGACCAATGCTTATTGTTCATGTAGACATTGTTCTTGTTTTAGATGTAGCTGATGCAGCATGCTCTTGCATATATATATTGAACTATCAAACAGTTGTGTAGGTATTTTACTTGACTTTAACTCAGCTTCAATTATTATCCGATCAGAAGGTATGCAAGCAGCCTGGTAGAGGACTTTAGAATGAGTGTACTCTGAGGACCTTTTGGAAGACAAAACAGGAAAAATATTAATTGGAATATTCCACTGAACACAAATAAAATTACTGTAATCTCATCCCATTGCGTGGTTCAAGGGATAATTGGGTAAATGCACGATAATAATGAACAAAGAATAAAACTGAATCAGGTGTTTTGATTTGTTACTTTGAGGAGGTGTGGAGAGTGACTGTGAAAGAAACCCTCAATTAATTATTGAAAAATGCTGCTCTTTGTGTGAGTGAGTGTGTATAAGAGACAGATACCTGTATATTCTTTATACCAAAACTCTCCTTACAAATATTAAGATAGGTTATATTAGAATTACTGATTTAACTAGTAGCAATTTTAAAACTCCTAATGTCTTTGGCAATATACATCTTAATTGGGTCCCCAAGCCTTGTCTCTTGCCAACCTGCACTTAATACATTCCAGAATTAGGTAAGCAGGATGCGACCATCCAGGGAGAGAATGTGCATTCCATTCCGTTAAACATCTTTAGAATTTTCAAGTATTGGTGGGATGCATTGGACTCTGTTTGGTTTGGATACTCTTAAGCATGGTGATAGGTTTGACCCAGTTGACCAAAAAAAATAATAATAATAATCCTTGCATTTGATATAGCGCTTTTCACGTCGGGAGGACGTCCCAAAGCGCTTCACAGAACACACTGTAAAGTGAATTGACTATATTTCTGGGCGAACGCGGCAGCCAATTGCGCACAGCAATGTCCCACAAATAGTCGTAGATTGAAAATGACCAATTTATTATTGTTTTTTTTGGTTTTGGAGGGATTATTATTTGGCATGTGGAGTAAGGAAACTTGCCCAAGGTTTCGCCCTGTCTGGAATTGAACTCGGGTCTCTCGCTTGCAAAGCGAGTGCTCTAACCACTGAGCTACAGGACTCCACGTCCTGCAGTAATTGGGCATGGGTGCACAGGGTAAATATCTCTGTTGCAACACAAAACAAATTGTGGCCAAACGATTGACACCAACCTGTAACCTCTATTTGCAGTTTTATCAGTATGTTTGGAATTCATGGAGTCAACAACATTATTCTATCCTACAGCTGGAGAAACATTTATCCAGTGTGTTTCTGATTCAGGATTTACTTTGTGATTCAGGAATACAGGACAGTTTCTCTGCGCACCCGCCAGCCAACTGTTTGAGGCTCCACATCCAGCTCCATTTCACTGCTCTTCATTTATAATAAATAATTAGCTTTGCTTGTGATATAGTGCCTTTTGGAAAATTGTTTCATATACAATTATTAACAGCTGGTTTCACTCAAATTCTCTGCTGGCTTCATCAGAGAAACTGTACACAAAACGGACATTGGACATTGAAGGAAATTTTCTGATGCACTGAATATTGCATTTCTAAACTATTTCTCTACTTATAGCAATATATTTTTGAGTAAGGTATTTGTGATGTATTTTGTTTGTGTTTTTCTTCATTTATTAAAGCAAAGGGATAGATAAAGGAAACCAATGAAGAAGGAATATATCAATTGTTATGTTTACTTAATCTTCAGTCCACAACCAATATTGGGAAGAGGGAAAAGGGGAAGAAAGCAAAAAGAGAAGAAGGGAAGAACTATTAAAAGAGAGGGAAGAAAGGGAAGGAAGAGGTAAGAGAAGGGGCCAAGAAGAAATAAATTAAATGAGAAATAGGAAAAGCTTAGAAGAAAGTTAGAAAATGTGATCTAGGATGAAATTGGTATTAAAACTACATTGTATTAGAATGTTTGTAAATGTCCCAGTTGTTTCTGTTAAGATGTAAAATAATTTAGCTTTTGGAAGAAGTAACCCTCAGTAAAATATTCATGAGCTTCTTACACTATATTAATAATCCTTATATGCAATGTAGCGCCCTTCACATTGGGAGGATGTCTCCAAGCGCCTCACACAATATACTGTAAAGTGTAGTGACTGGGTTTTGTGGGCAAATGCGCAGCCAATTTGCACACAGCAATGTCCCACGAACAGTTATGAGGTGAATGACTAATTTTTATTTAGATTGTTGGTCAGGACACTGGGAGAAACTCCCTTTTTTCAAATGGTGCCATAGGATCTTTAACATCCACCTAAAGTGACAGATAGGGCCTCGTTTTAACCTCCAGCAATGCAGCACACTCCCAAAACTGCATTGAAGTGTCATTTTAGACTACGACTTCCAACGCACCATCTCCATTGACTGAGCGCTTCCCCACTCCTCCAGTCAAGTTTTGAAAACACAATTGTTCCAATAATTTTCATAGGTTCTAAATTTGTAATATTTGTGCAGTCCAGATTAATTTCCTTGTAAATGTATTTAATTGAAGTATTTACATTTGGATAATAGGAAGTAATTTGAATAGCAGACATATGTTTGATGCAAAGTATAGCATCTTTGTATAGAGTAGTCAAGGCACAAGAAGGAAATGTATAGGTTATTATAAAATATTTCACTATTTAAGATAGTTATTGATCAACTAAAGAAATCTAAAATTTTTAGTATCTGTTCTTGATTAGTTTGTTTAGTTCTGGATTCATAAATGGACGTTTCTTTGTAATGTCTCAATGGTATGCAAAGATTTTTTTTATTGGAAGCCCTATCATGATGCAGGATGGTTATTGTACTGTGTAAGATGGTATTCTCCCCCCAAATACTTTTCAGCATTAAAAGTGGTGGTGTTTGCTTTATTAGGTGTTGGTGACCATAAATAGAAATCTCATTAAATTTTGGCCTCAAGATATTTTGCAATAATAGGATTAGCTCCCTTGTTCTCTGAACAGTAATTCGTCAATTCCTCTAGCACATCTGAATATTTCTGATCACTAAAATATTAGCTACAAGACTTTTTCTGACTCAACCAGTCTTAGTCTACACTGCCCCACAAATATGTTTTGAGAGGGGGGAGGGCTTGCAGGATAAGATGTTTGCCACAAAGTATAACATGTCTGTATATACTAGTGTATACTATAATATTATACCCTAATATTACTATTATTAAAAGTACAGAAGCTCTGGGTACAAATGGTCCCTTTAAAGAATGCAAAGCAAATCATACTTAATAACCCAGTGATGATCAAGTTCAGTTATTTCTGAGGACAACATTGTCAAATAGCACATTATTTTATGTCACAAAACTATGCAGTGATGGCATCATGTTTTTTCCTGACATTTTTAGTTGTTTTATTTTTGAATCTGTTAACTGAGTGTGTGTAAATTGCATTTTAAAACTATATGTTTTAATTTTCATAATGTAATTCTGCTTTAGGTCCGTGCCCAACCAGTTGCTGCTATTATCCCAAGAATCTGTAGCAAATACTCAGAGTGATGGGGAACATCCAGAAGAAAACCAAGCAATACCTAAAAAGGACTTGCAGGGTAATTCTGTATGGAATGCTATTTAAAGAATATTTAGAATACATCAAAGCATAAGATAGGTTCAATTTAAATGCACATAACAAAGGGATTCAAGTTAATCATAAATGGTTCACATTCTATTTTGTTGAACTTTGTAGGTGGGGAGTTTTTGTTTAGAATTGTATGTAATCAAGCATTTCAAGGGTGAGTTAATTCATTATAAGTAAAAGTCTACAAATTTCAGGATAATATATTTAAAACGTTTTCTACTATACTTTAGTTTGTATCTTTGCTAGAAATATTTTAGCTTGGCATTTGCTTGCAAATCAAAGCAAAACCTTGTTGTTAAACTTTTCAGTCAGAGTTGTATGCTTATTTACATTAATTCAACTTCAAGGTTCCTGAAATTTCAACTCATTTGATTTTATGGCAGATTTGGGTGGGAACCAGCAGGTAGAGAGAGCAACGTTGGACAGTTGTGAAAAATCATTAGTAGGGAGTAATTGTGAAGACTGTTCCATGGATAGTTCAGATTACTCCAGCTCTTCAAAGAACACAGAAACAGGGTACAGTTATGATGCTAGTACAGAGAGCGAGGCAGATGACTGCATGGCGCAGGAAGAGGTATCGCGGAGGGCCAAAAGAAAAATAGAGGAGTGTCCAGACCTAGGTAAAGTTTTCTTATAGGGATATATTGTATCTAAAATATGCCTGTGATATTGGTTTCTTGCCCCTTCACCTCCTTCCTCATAGAAAAGCTGCATATAAATAGCATGTACATAATGTTTGCTAATGTTTAAAATAATGAAGTTCACAATTTTGTGTATGTTAAAGCTTCCACGACAGAAGAAATAGCACAGACGTCTTCTGATGGACAAGAAAAATCTCCTGAGAAACCTAAGCAGAAGAAGAATCGTTGTTTTACGTGCAGAAAGAAAGTGGGGCTTACAGGTGAGTATAATAAGAATCTTTGTATTTGGTTTAGTGACTTTCATGTCAGGAGTTTGGCCCAAAGCACTTCACAGGATTTACTGTGAATTGGAGTGACGGTGTATTTGCAGATGAGGACAGTAGCCCAATCGTGCACAGCAGGTAATCAGTAATCAGCAGGCAAAAAATTATTCTGGTGTTGGACCTGCATAGACATATTACCCTAATTCTGTGCATCTCTGTAAGTATAACTCATTGTAAAATATGGTAGTTATTTCTTCCAGTTGATTTTGTGTTCCAAAACAAATGCAGCTTTGTATAAATGCAGCTTTAAGTAAATCCTTACCTCTTCAAGGGAGCATTTCCTCATTTGACTTCACCCTACTTCAGCTTCTAGCTCCTAAACCTGTTGTTTGTTGAGAGATTGTTTTTGTCAATCTCAGAAAGTGAAGGGGTGAATGTATTCCACTGGGATTCCAACCCAGAACTTTCGACTGCTTCACTGATTGAGTTACCAGGTTGTCCTGCTGCATATAAAATATACTGTGCACAAAATGCTTCCCCACTGAGAATATTAAAGCTCTTCTACCATAGATGTATGTCAGTGATTAATCACTGACTTTGATAACTGAGATATTGCCTTATAAGACGCAACCCAATAACATTTGATGTCTAATAAATTTGCCACAGAGTAAACACAAACAACTCTTTAACTGGCATAGTTATTTGGATTTAAAATACAACAGGCACTGGAAAGGAATTGTGAAATAAGTGGTGGTTTATGTAGAAAATTGTAAGCTAACTGACATTTGTTTATGTAGAGATTTGGAAACCTACTCAAAGGATCTTTGCCGACCAACCTCATAGGACTTTTGCGGAGGTGACGTTGCAAATTGACAATCAGAAACTCTTTCATGTACTGTATCTGGTCTTTCAAAAAGTCTTTGACAAAGAATCGCTCAAGAGGTTCCTGTATGTTAGTGGGTATCAAGGGTCGAAACGGGTGGATGTTTAAATGGCTAACTGGAATAAAATAGAGTAGTTAAAGGGGAGCTAAGTTGATTTGGGGGATGAGAGAGGAGAATATCAGGCTTAGCACACAAATGAACAGGATTCACAGACTCAAAACAAAGTGGTTACATTTGACGATCTTGATAAGTTAGGGAGGCTTGTGAAATTGAAGGGGCAGCTAAGATCTAATAGATTTTTGACAATGTATCAATACTGATCCTTGCCATGCTAGTTGACTCAGGGCTGTTATGTACAGAATGGTTTGTGCCTAAGGAATAATAGCATCATGCCATTTGGCTCAGCAAGCTTATGCTTGTGTGAGCTTTTCACTGGACAGAAAAAGCAAATCAAGAACAAGATTCTAAGAGTTGTCAGTGTGGGAGAATAAGAAGGGGACAGGTTCGGGATTGTGGAAGACCTGGTTAGAATGGGTAGTAGCAAGTATTTCTTTGCACTTAGATTAGTTATCACGATGGGTAGTTCGGGGTCAGGATAGTGGATGAATTTAAGAAGCTGATACTGTCAGGAATGCAGTAGGGTTGGGTATCCCAGAAAGATGAAATGAAATGGACCAAAAGGCCTCGTTCACCTGAACCTCTTGTGATCTTGTGAGTAATGTGCTTGAGGGGTTTGGATAGTATGAACTGCTCAGGATTCTTGTTGCAGTTTGTGATGTCATCCAAATCCTTTTGAGTCTTGCAACTTTCTAAATGCTCTCAGCAATTTCTTTGTATTTCTTACGATGTAGAGGTTTTCTTTGTGTTTCTGGATAATCCACAATTTATTAAAGTGTTTGTCTTAGTTGAAACCAGACAATTTCGAGAACTTTGATCCACAATCTTGTGGAGAAAAAATTCTATTGTATAATTGTACTACATTTGCCCCTTGGTGGCAGTATTAATCTCTATTACTGATGACCTATCTTTTTCATTGTGTGATTTTTTTTTCCTTTGAATTTTTGCTTGTAAAGAAACTACAACACTACATCTCCGTTGCAGATAAAAATATAAAAACGGTTGCTGTCATATTTTTCAATGCATACTTTATTTTGCTTAATTTCCTGTCTTTCCCTGCATGCAACATTTCCTGGGCAGTATGGAGCATTTTTGTTTGGTCAGCCGGGTGTCTGACACATGTGGAAACCCATTACCATGCTTAAGATTATCCAAACCACGCTGAGATTTCCATGTGTTCCACCTACATGTGGAAATCCCAGAGACAGATTGGTGGAATGCAATGCGTGCTCTCTTCCCGTAGGGACGCATTCCTGCTTATCTAATTCCGGAAAGTATTAAGCACAGGCTGGCAAGAGCCAAGGCTTGGGGACCCCAGAGTGTGCTTTGGGGTACTGCTGGAGTCTAACCAGCTAAAACTACGTACCAGGCCATTGATATTGCTGTCTGACGAGCTTTCCCTCTGCTTGTCCAGCCTACCTGTTAGGGTTTTGGCTTGCAGGGTAAACAGGAGCTGAGTGGAATGACTCCTTGCCCTCAGTGACTGGTCTACCCTTCCACGTCCTGCCAATAAGTCAGGCTGGTTTTGCTCTCATCAGCAGTGACCTGGAATACTGCTGACCTACCTGGCTCATGAACTGGACTACCGAGACAGCCACAGAGGACTGGCTCGATTCTGACATTCCATTGCCAGACATGTCACCTTGGAGCCAGTTCAGCTCCAAGGAGACCCCTTATGGAGGAAAAGAGATTTCTTGGCAGGCTCTTGCTAAAGCTGCTCTTCAACTGGCCTGTAATGAGATTGTCCTCTGTGTAAGTCAGAGTTTAATGACTTGGATTATAATATTGGAAAATGTATACTATTTGTTCAAAGATCTAGGCTTCAAATGAGAAATGTAGTTGTCCTTTCTTGCATGTTCTACTAAGCTCTTGTATCACCTTATAAAATAGGGAACAGTTAAATAAATCTGTGTCCTTGTGCAGATTTATGGAAATGCTACATAAATTAAGCAGATTAGGGGGTTGGGAAATGTGCCATCTTCTCACCTAATGCTTAGAAGTATTGAAACCGTCACAATAAATGCCTGTGAGAAAACGTGTTTTTCATTTTACTTGAGCATCTGTAGTCTTGAGTTGAAAGGATAAAGAAAACCATGGCAATTTAGCCTAGGATTTGAAGCAGCTTTTGAGACAGCAGATCTGATTCCAGGATTTATTTCTCTGATACCTTGGTACCAGCAAATTTAAAGCTGCTGTATCTTTACCATATTATCAAAGGTATTCAAACATTTTGCAGATTAACTCTTCATGATGGCAATCAGCCCAAATCTGTGCCTTTCTGTGTTGGTGAAATTGATCCTGTTTTTTTTCACTTGCCATTGATTTGAAAGTGGAAGAGGGATGGATCTAGTCTCAGAATTCTGAGAAAGATTGGAGGCACAGCATAGGTCCATGATTTTAACTTTCTATATAACCACTTGCCAGGTCATTAGGCAAAGTTGAACTTTTGTTATGTCCTTTCATTGAGAGAATTTTACAAGCAGCAAGTTTATGGCAATTGTTTGAGACCACCTTCAGGCTAGGAATGAGAGCTAGAAATTAGACTAATGTAGGTCTTGCTACCAAGTCTCTGTTTAGTATGTACCCTTGGTAAGAAGGTCTTTGCAAGCTAAATAAAGGAAGCTTTTCCTTTAAAGTTAACACTCAGCAGTTTTGTACAGTGGTTATGCTGTGGGGTTCCTTCTGTGAGCTATTAAAGGAAATACAGTAGATATTTATTGTACTCAAACTGTGACGTGTCACCTTGGAGCCAGTTTAGTTCAATTACCCAACCCCCTAATCTGCTTAATCTATGTAGCGTTTCCGTAAAACTGCACAAGGACACAGATTTATTTAACTGTCCCCTATTTTATAGAGCTCAGTAGAACATCGAGAAAGGACAACTAAATTTCTCATTTGAAGTCCAGATCTTTGAACAAATAGTACAGATTCTCCAATATTATAATCCGGGTCATTAAACTTTGCCCCTGGGCCATAAGAGGGATACTCTGTGGATTTTTAGATGCATCCTCACCATATCATCTGGTCATTCAAAAAGAATGGTTGTATGCTCTCAAGGCAAGCCCTGCAAACTTTAATTCTGTTATGGTTTTGTGGCTTCATAGAAACTCATTCAGATCTATAACATTAAATCAGCAGTCTTATGCAGCGACAGAGAAAAATACCTTATTATGTGTGTGATTTCTGAAATTCTGATCCATTGCAAGACCGAGGTCTAAAACTCTATTCTCCTCAGTGAGGAAAAAGTCAGAAAAAATAGGGGGTAGGAATTTTAGAAGAACCAGGAAATTATGCCTGGGATTATTTGGAGAGAACATGAAGGAAATTTCATAAAGCACTGACCATCGTAAGGGAGTCGATAAATTAGTGGGGCAGTTTCAAAAAATTGCAAATATGCTTTTCATTTTAAAGAGGATTGCTAGAGACAGACCTGACAAGTGGAGACCCATTAGTCTGACTGCAACAATCGGAAAACACAGAATCAATAATCAGAAGCAAAAAAATGGAAGAGTACAATTTGAAAATAACCTAATAAATCATCAGGAGTAGATGTTTCCTGACCAACCTCATAATAATGGCCATAAAGTCTAATGTGCCAATTGGGAGAATTCCCACTGCTTAAGGCGGACCATGAATGAACAAGTTACCTTTACCTGCAATATGCCTCATTCTTTGAGGTTCTCCCCTATACCAAGCATGCCACCTTCCCTCTCCTCTCGACTTTGATCTGTTTTTCATTTTGCTATGCTTATGGTGTCATGTTTTAATATATCTCTTCTAGCTTCAGGGCATAAATCAAATTTAAATTATTAACCTTTCTATTAATCATTGTTTAGCAATTTTTAAAGTTTAACAATTTGCTTGTTCCTAGTTTTAAAATATGGCAACTGATTCCTTCCTGGTCGTCTTGCTTATTCCTTCGTTACCTTGCTTACTGTGGTCAAAAAGAGCTAAATGTGTCTCTAGTGATTGCCTCCACTGATATGATGACCTTACCTATGATATGTGGAGGGTAACGTCATTTGAGGAATCAGAAATGCTACACTGAAAGGTGAGTGTCTAGAGAATTCATGTTAGGGACCCGAGGCCTGGCCAGTACAATGGTGGTGAACAGGAATCGTCATCCAGGATCAGGAATGGTGTTGATTCCCTTTGTAATATCTTGACAGGGACAAATAGATGAAATGGTAGGCGGACTGCTTTAGATGGGCACAAATAGGATGATTCATTTTAATCGCTTTCCTCACTGCTATTTCACCGGCTGAACAGTACAGCCCCTTTAATATCATTTTTTATAAATCAGCATTTTCAACACTGGTTTGCTTTGGTCCCTTTTCTCCCCCAAAAACAACTTTATACTTTATTTGGGTATTTCTTCTGCGGAAGCATGATTTCAAACCCTGCAACAGCCCAGGCTCTGAAGCATTTTGAGTCAGACAAATGTGGAGACAAAGTTCAGTTGCCAGTAACGTGGAGAGCCCTGGGTGGGGGGCAAGTCACATATTAAAAGCAAGTTTACAATTATTTACATTTGATAGTAATTGCCCTTATTTGTATTGTAGTCGATTGTGGATATGTATCTAATTGCACATCTCTTGTTTTCAGGATTTGATTGCAGATGTGGAAACTTGTTCTGCGGATTACATCGTTACTCTGATAAACACAGTTGTCCTTATGATTACAAAGCTGATGCTGCTGAAAGAATAAGGAAAGAAAATCCTGTTGTAGTTGGAGAAAAGATCCAGAAGATTTGAACTGCTACTCACATTATTTTTTTTCTTTTTAAACCACGCGAACCTAATTAAACAACAAAGAGGATAACCTGAGCTTTTGTAGTCCTTGATGGAAATTTGGAACATTGTACCTTACATAGATCTTTAAATCATGCATGCCATGAAAATTAGAACTTGAGAAATGACTTTGGGAAGTTGATTCAATTTTCTTTGAATAATCTGTGGTTGGAAAATTACTGCATATTTAGGAGCAAGTCCATTATACAGGCATTTTAATTTTAGTAAAGTGCAAGGCTTTTATAACAAAACATAGGTTAAGTATTGGAGGGCTGTGCTTTTCCAGTATTACATGCATGTTTTTACCTTGCATTTTTTCTTTCGTGTATATGGCCTTTCTCTGCAGCACTATTTTCTAATTCAACAGTGTCATAAATGGCACTAGATATCAGTAACAGAATGTACGCTAATCATTACTGATGCTTTTGTTCTGTTCATGAAAAGGTCAAATATGTTGGCATAGTAGCTTTCTTGCGCCTACATCTCATTGATTATTTATGATCCTTTAAATGAGCGTATGCTGTTTTATGATTTTGAAGTATGTATGTATCTTGAATGGAAAAAGCCTCTATGCACTTCAATGCAGACTGCAAGTTTAATCGGAAAATACAGTAATGCTTAACTCTGAGCGTGCACAAAACAGAGGATGGTGTTCTGAAGTAATTATGCTGTATTTATGTTAGTTTATTCACTGTCTTAACTTTGACTAAATAAAGTTATAAAAGGAAAATGAAAGTTGTAAAAAAAAATGAATATAGGGCAGAATTCATAATGTGTGCCTTGTTACAAATGTGATCAGAAATTTTATTTTTTATTAGGTTAGAAACTATGTATTGCTTGTATAAAAACATCAATGTAAGGCTACATATAAGCAATGTGGAATTACATTAATGGATGACAATAACACTACATAGCACATTAAAGACAATATGTTCACTTTTCACTTGCAACCACATTTCATAATTATTCCTCATCTTTCCCTCACCACCTATTGTTTTATGCATTGACCTTACTTCAAAGGTTCACATTTATGTAAACATTAAGGCTTTTTCAGTTCCTAAGGTGGAGATTGTGAGGGGGAGAATAAAGTGAGAAAATATGTGTTGTGGCAACCTTAGCTGTGAGGAATTTACCATGCACTCCTCGTTTGTAGGAACATTACATTTACCAAAAAAACACACTACAGTTTGGGAGAACTGCTGGGCCATTGGATGGGTATGTATTGCGTGGAGTCCTGTAGCTCAGTGGTTAGACCACTCGCTTTGCAAGCGAGAGACCTGAGTTCAATTCCAGGCAGGGCGAAACCTTGAGCAAGTTTCCTTACTCCACACGCCTAATAATAATCCCTACCAAAAAAAAAACAATAATAAATTGGTCATTTTCAATCTACGATTGTTTGTGGGACATTGCTGTGCGCAATTGGCTGCCGCGTTCGCCCACAAGTATACAGTCAATTCACTTTACAGTGTGATCTGTGAAGCGCTTTGGGACGTCCTCCCGACGTGAAAAGCGCTATATCAAATGCAAGGATTATTATTATTATGGGGGTGTTTAAGGGTGGGACGTTAAACTAGTTTGAGAAACATTAACATACTGGAAAGATGAGATAAAATATGCCAACCAGCTGCCTTCATCAAAACCTCAGAATTTGTACTAAGCTGTTGTCTGTTTATGGCTCCTGACAGTACTTTCACGTGGTTTCAGGAACAATTTGAGCTTGATTTATAATTCATACTTGGAGGCTGCTTTCAGGTTTTGGAAACAACTACCTTTAATTGGCCATGTAATGGGGTTATAAATACAAAATTCAGGACACAAGGAGATTACTTAGCCATTATGTACGGCTGTCGTGATAGCTATTCACTGGAGCATTTTCTTATTCCTGCACAACCTTACCCCTTTGTACAGTTTTAATCTCGACATGTTTTATCTAATTCCCTTTGAGTATACAAGAAGCTTTCAACATTTTCTATCAACAGAACATCCAAACTCACACACAGTACTGTATAATACACAATACGCTGTGTCTGAACCAGTTTTCTATACAGATTCAATATTACCTCGTGACTTTTGTATTCAATACTCCTGTATATAAAACCTCGTATTTAATTTGTCCTTGTGTCATTTTCCATCTGCAATTGTAGTTTTGAAGATATGAAGCTGCGAATCCCAATCTCCTGTTCCTTCACTCTTTGAAGGACATTTCCATTCCTTGCTAATTCCTTGCTCTTTCGTCAAAATGTAGTAAAGGCATATTTATGTAAATTTCCACATCTATCTATACCTACTCAGCACCTGCAAGGCAAAGCCCTAATAGGTAAAGTGGTCCTAACTGGACAAGTGGCAGGAGGCTCCAGCAGTATCCCAGTGCATGCTCCGCAGGCCCCAAGTCACGGCTGCTTGCAATCTGCTCCAAAAACCGCCAGGATAAGGTAAATATTGGGGGCAGCCATCTGGAGAGAAAGAAAAAGAAGTATGCACTCCATTTCCAGACAATCTGAAATTATATACACCATGTGGAACGCTCAGATTGATTTGGAGACTCTTAAACATGGGGATAGGGTTCTGCTTGTGTTGGATACCTGGCTGATCAAAACATTGAAAGGTCCTCGGTCAAATTTGGCATCAAGATTGCTGTTTTCCTGATTTAAACAATATTTTAATCCAATATTTGAATTTTAATGATGGCTACCGGTTAACGAAACCGGATAGCTTTTGTGGTATGCTGTGAGAATAATAATAATAATAATAATATAATGGGAATGTGGCCATTTGGAGCACCAGGAGGGTTAGAAATATCTGTGAGGGTTACGCATATCCATATCTTGGCCATTATGTTAAATTATGAAATTTAGGGGAGGGGAGAAAATCAACCTTTTGGTGCCTGTTCAACAACACCTTGCATTTTTATAGAGTTCGATTCAAAAGCTGCAATGCCTTTTGTCATCTGATAATTGCCTTTACCGTGTCTTATTGGAGTGCCATCGATAATTGCCTTTTTTTGTGGTTTGATTTTGACTGAACTCTGCACAGTCCAGTAGTTCATGGATGTTCCAGTTGTTTGTAGGAGGTTAGACACACCACACACTGGCATCAGGCCAGAGACGAGTGTTTGTGTAGCTCCTGGAGGTCACCGTAAATTCCCACGATGGGCGTTTCAGCCTGAAATAAATCCCCATTGGTCGGTGCAACCCTTTGCAAACTGTTTAAGCATACACTCAGAGTTCAACCCATTTCTCTGCTCTGAATCATGTCTTTCATCAGACTGGCACAAAGCTCCGATTTCCCCATTCAAAACCTCCCGTATGGCGTGTTTTCTACTCCAGACAAAGTAAGTGAATCCCTTAACGTATCACATGCAAAAGTTGCTGATGTGCGTGTCTTTTAATTTGATAGGGGGGAGGCTTCAAAAGTAAATGCGTTTTGAGTTCAAAATTAGGGAGGAAAGACGAATTTACCCGATTGGGTAAAGCCAGTTTGTACTTGTAGCATCCTGTGTCAAAATCCTAAAGTCTTGCAAGAGATTTCTTACTTTTTGCTTCCCTTTTCTATCGTTTGGTGTTTACTACACCACAAGTTTTGTAGACCTCCCCCCCCGCACACACACAGATCCCAAATAAGAGTGTTTATTTGGACAATTGTTTCAATATGTCTAATGAAGAAAAGTTGTGCAGCATTCACAGGACAAATTCCCAAACTTCTACTCTGCCGCTTCATAAGAAATTATCATTTTAACATGAGTGGAAGTGCTTCCCACTGTGTAAACGCACTCTGGGACACTACCCTGCCATGAAGGGCATTACATAAGTACAAGTTGTTGTTGTAAATGCCAAGCTCTGATGTATCCCTGCAAGAGTTGGTATTTTCAGTAAAAGATAATTGACCAAAAAACTACATGGAAGGAGAAAAAAGGTTATTAATCCCATATTTTCAACAGTCCACTTGAACCTTGTCCTATTATAGGTTTCGCTTTGCCCCCTCTTATCTCTAGTGATAAAGCTCCACAAACAACCTCCCTATACCCCATATCTGCCATTAGTCAATGCTTAAGAGAAAATGAATATTTGAAATGAACTACAGAATGTTAGCTTTGGTTGAATATTTTGTCAATTTCACCTTGCATACACAGTGCAAGGACAAAATTGAAAAACAAATTATGTCTGCAGTTCACATGTATCTGTAATCTTTGTATCACATTTAAAATTTCTTCTCCTTCCGCTCCCTCTCCCCCACTTATGGAAACTTAGCAGTACTCACATTAGTGTGAGCAAATAATATGTAATGAAGATGGTGATGATATAATGAAGGCAAGGTGCGAAATATTCACTGTCAGACACTTTCTAAAACGTTATGTACTTTTTTTCTCACCAGCCTAACCACAGATTAGGTGTTGCCATTGGAGACCAGATTTTAGATCTCAGTGTTATTAAGCATCTCTTTTCTGGACCAGTTCTTTCCAAGCATCAGGATGTATTTGATCAGGTAATAATAATAATAATAATCCTTGCATTTGATATAGCGCTTTTCACGTCGGGAGGACGTCCCAAAGCGCTTCACAGAACACACTGTAAAGTGAATTGACTGTATATTTGTGGGCGAACGCGGCAGCCAATTGCGCACAGCAATGTCCCACAAACAGTCGTAGATTGAAAATGACCAATTTATTATTGTTTTTGGTTTTTTGGAGGGATTATTATTAGGCGTGTGGAGTAAGGAAACTTGCCCAAGGTTTCGCCCTCTGCCTGGAATTGAACTCAGGTCTCTCACTTGCAAAGCGAGTGCTCTAACCACTGAGCTACAGGACTCCACGTCCTGTCCACGTCCAGGTAATAACTTGATAAGTCACCCTTTGGCTCCAGCCGCTCAAAGAGCCACGGTTTGGCTCTAGCCAATCTGTACCTAACACTCTCTGGAATTAGGTAAGCAGGGTGCATCCCTTCCAGGGAGAGAGAGTGCACATTCCATTTTTTGACTCGAAGAGAAATTTCCATGTGCAGGTGGCATACATATGTGGAACTCTCAGCTTGGTTTGGATACTCTTAAATACGGTGATAGGTTTCCTCGTGTATCAGGCGCCCAGCTGACCAAAATGGAATATTGTCATGCATATTCAATTCTAAAATGTCTTATATTTCTTCTGTCAAGTAATGCATAGTTCATTTGAGTCCCCTTTAAGTCCTTGTTAAATTATTGAGCTATTTCTTCTTTCACTGAAGATTTGAAGACCTTTGGCTAATCATGTAAGATGCATTCAGTGCAACTCGTACAAAACAGCAAAGTATTTTTGTAAAATAACTTTATTTTAAAGTTGCCAAACATTAAGAATAAAATACCACAGTTTATGCATCAATCACTTGTGTATGATATGTCAGTCATTGAAAGCCATTCTTTTATACTGGTGGAAAAATACAGCTTAGCATAAAACTGTGTATAGATTCCAATAGATAGGGGAGCATTATTGTAACAATATTGCAATCAGTTGGGCCTTCAATAACTCTTGATTTATACGTTCAGTTGAAATTAATTTCTTGGAATATTTTGCACATCTGTATTGGGTCCCTCCTGCAGCCAACTCTCAATTCCTTCATGGCGCTGGGCTACGAGTCTTGGAGGGAAGCTCGAGCTGTTCTGCAGCAACTCCTGTCAGCCAGCGACCCCACACTGCGAGATAATGTGGAACTGAGAAAAAGGTAAAAGCCTGGGATATTTGGAGAACATCTCCTTGAATATTTATTCCAAATATAAATATGTAAAATATAAATTTGGAAGCGAAATCAGGAAGCACTTTTGCATGCAAAGGGTAGTGGAAATCTGGAACTCTCTCCCTCAAAAGGCTGTGGTTGATTTTGGTTAGGTCAGGGTATCAAGGGTAATTGGAGTTGAGACAGATTAGGCTCGAGGGGCTGAATTGCCTACTCATGTTGCTATGTTTCCATAAGTATACAACCATGCATTCAATTTTCTTTAAGTTAAAAAGATTTCAGATGCCCATGAGGTGTTTAGCCTCCAAAAGCAGTAAAAGAGGGAAAAAGCAAATGTAATGAGCACCCGGTGAGAAAACAGCAGGCCTGATTGGAAAGCCTTGTGATCTTGTGATGAAATGAGACACTTAATTTCTAAATATTGTTCTTAATTTGAATATAGGGTAGCATTTGTCTAATTGAAGTGGGATTAAGACTCCCATTTCAATTAGAATCAAGGCCAACATTACGGTATTTCTATAAATAACCATTCATTTATGTTTCCAGAGCATTTGTGCAGCTATCTTCAGCTACCATGCATCTTCCTGCAGAAATTGGTATGTTGGATAAGTAACTAAAATTTATTTGACAACATTTATGTAATTGAAAGCTCTATACCCTCTACCCACTTATCTTCAAATTAGAAGACTAAAGGGAGGCTGGAACCCCTCCATTCTGTTCCTGCTCCTTGTTTCACCAACATGCTTGTAGTTTCCTTAAGGATAAGCAAAACATTTATTGCAAGATTCAAAAACCTGCCTCCTCATAAAATCATGGAATTATACAGCACAGAAGGAGGCCATTTGGCCCATCGTATCTGTGCTGGCGCTTTAAAAAGAGCTGTCCAAATCAATTCCATTCGCCTGCTCTCTCCCTAGAGCCCTGCAGACTTGTCCTCCCTAAATAATTATCTGCTTCTCTCTTAAAAATCGTTATCGAATTGGCTTCCACCACCCTTTCAGGCAATGCATTCTTGATCTGAACAACTCGCTGTGTGAAAAAAATTCTCCTCACCTCCACTCTGTTTCTTTTAACAACAATTTTAAATGGGTGCCCTCAGGTTACCGACCCACCTGCCAGTGGAAATAGTTTCTCTTTGTTCACCCTATTGAATTCCCTCATAATTTTGAAAATTTCTGTTAAGTCTGCTCTTAACTTTCTCTGCTCCAAGGAGAATAATCCGAGCTTCTCTAGCCTCTCCTTCCACTGTGTCTTTCTGATAGGTTTGAATTTAATGTTAGACAGTTCTGGAGTTTCACAATGGAAAGGTTATAGACACTTTGGTGCATTAATCTGATCAAACACATCCAGTATAAGATACAGTTCTTTGACCTAGAGTATGTGCTCGTTCACCCAGTGCAGCCTGTTTTAATACTTGAATCTTGTACAGATAGCCTTCCAAAATAGTGTACATAATTGATTTGAACAATTCATTACTATTTAATGTTTATTAGCTCTGCCAACCCCATTTGTCAGCAGAAATTACTGCTTAAACAAGTTTTTTTTTAGAGAATTGGCCACAGTAAAGAAACGTCCAAATATTATTTTCCCCCCAATTTACTCTCCCCATAAACACTGATTCTTGCTGAGATTTAGGTACATGGGCACGGCCATTCTTTGCTTTACCTCACCAAAGTGGTTGTTCTTTAGATTTGAGCTCAGATAGTGAGAATAGGCAGGCAATTGAACCATGCAAGTTAATCCTGTGCTCACCAAAAATATACCCAACACACACAGATAAATTTGTGTTGATTCCCCACTCTTAAGCCAGAAATGCTGAAGCCTATTTACTTTTTCAAACAATGGCACTTTCTAAAATCCACAACACAAAGTAACTCAGATAACTCAACAGTGTGCTAGATTGTTAAAATTATCAGCAAATTCGTATTCAGTTATTCTCATTATTATTTCTGCTTTTTGAATTGTTTATCTTCTTATCGGATAACAGTTTTTTGTTGTCTTGCGGATATTGTGCAAAATGTTCACCCTTCCAATTTTTTGTGAACCAAATGTCCACATGAAAATGCTGTAGTAATTGGAATATCACACATGAGGGCAACAGAGAGTCAATAAACAGCATTAACTCAACCAAATGCTCTGTGGGAAATCATAATCCTAGCCTCACAGTTTAAGATTCTATGCTTTTAAAATAAAAAAAATTAATGCAATCTGTCTTTGATGTAGCAATTAGCAGATTGCAAAGATTTACTTTTCAAAGGAAATAATAACAAGGTGATAAAAGCACCTATGAATATACAGTATCATTGTAAACTGATAATTGAAAATAATAGTCATTGATAGACTCAAATGGTGAAGTCTTACTTAGATGAGAGATGGTCCCAAGTTTCTAAATGATGAGTTATTGTGCTCATGTTATAGCATTATACTGAATGTAACTTTTCACTTAACCATGAACTTGTATTTTATCCAAAGGGGATTACACTGATTTCTATTCTTCGCGTGATCATGCTACCAATGTTGGAATGATGTTTCGAGGAAAGGAAAATGCTCTCATGCCTAACTGGTTGGTGTTAATCTTAGTACCTTTTGTCTAGACACAATGGCAAGAGTTACAAAACCTGTTTTTGTAAAATCAGTTTTCTCATTGACTTTTTAAAATGCACTGACAGTAAGATTTATCTAACCATTCAGAGTGTGGGTGTTTGTATTCACAACTGAAAAAGACTCTGCAAGAATAACAGGTCAATTGGAACCCCTTCGAAAAGTTTTTTCATGATTCACAGAAGAACTAATGTCCTTCAGTTGCTATTGTTCATTTATTCTGTGGGGATAGTTGGAATGTTTTCTGGAGACAACGTGCTATATTTTTGATATTTCATAAATACACAATAATATTTTTGCAATGTGTACAGTTCAGAAATAAATGTCTACAGCACACAAATAAATCTGTGTTGGTTCAACCTCCTTACCCCAGAAATTCGGAAGCTGGTTTAAAAAATGGACACTTTTTAATATGCACAACATTCTGAATTCGGGTAATTCAGAAATAAGGAATTTCTGAAACCATTACCCTTGTAATTCGCATTTCTTACTATTGGTTACATACACCCCTGATGTCCGAAGGAACAGGAAGGAAAAGTGGGAAAAAACGAGCCTTGTTAATGTGATATACTGTATTAGCATCTGATCAGGAAATAAAATACATGGCTGTGTGGAAGTCTGTTTTAACTGTATGTGTGTGCAGGATGTATGAATGATGTAGGGCCATTTTACTTTGGGATACATACATCTGAATTTCAGCTTAACTGTCCATTATTTGAAAGAACATGAAACTGGTCCTTGTTCTTTAAATGCCAGGTATATTTACAATACTCCGTGGCATTATCCCAAATAAAGGGTGTGCCTACGTAGTTTTTGTTTCTCAGTGCTTGAGCGATGCAGAGTTTAAATTGTGACATGTGACTATTTCCAGGTTGCATTTACCTGTTGGTTATCATGGACGAGCATCATCTATTGTGGTCTCCGGCACCTCTATCAGAAGACCAAGCGGACAGATGAGACCGGATGAGAGTGGGTATAACGGGACTCAGCAAACTTAATTATTCTAATTTCTTAATTTGAGAAACTGCTCCTTTAGGCTCAAGAATGATTGGAAAAGTATTTTATCAGTTCAAAGCCTCCTTAATGTTAGATAGAGAAGAGTGGTCACGGCCAGGCACTGGCTTCATTTAAAAACCGCTTGATGCTGTGATGGGAGGACAATCGGCTGGGTATTACGGAAGCATGAGTTCAAATGGGCCAAAGGGCCTTCTTCGTCCATACCGATCTTATGAGCAGTTAGCTTGTTAGCTAATACTGCTCAGACTATTTGCACTTGGTCCTCTCTAATGGTTCTAGACTGAATTTAAGTGCAGTTCACAGAGCTGAATGACAAATAAAATATGTAAGTATATAATGTTTGAAACTATTTTGCAGTTGTCGCAGCATCTAATTTTTTAAAAAATGTAATCTTATGTTTCACAGCAAAACACCCTGTGTTTGGAACCTGCAAACTCCTGGACTTTGAGTTGGAAATGGTATGTTGCAGGAATGCATTACACCCTGTAACATTGCTGTTGAGAGTTGTACTAAAAACAAAAACAAATGCTCTGTCAAGAGCTACACATTGCAAATGATTTTATATTACTGTATTATGGCAGAAGTTGTGCATGTTTTATGCATGATCATAGACTATTTTTGAGTGTTTCACAATAAAGAGGTATTGCATGTTTAAAGCTAAGTACTGTAAATATATTCATAGACTTGTACTTATTTTCTTCATTCACATTAAGCTGATAGGGAAGCTACATGACTGCCCCTCTCGGAATCAGAGCATCAGCACAATCTGTTTTCTGCGATAATATTTCTAGCTTCACAGAAACAGAAAATCTCCTTAGTTAACACCCGGCTGGATTTCCAATTTGTTTCTGACGAGCAAAGAAGACCTTCTGGTGTTGTATTCTGAATTGATAGACTTCATTAAACCGTGTAATTTGAGCTAGACCTTATGATTTAGATCCTATTTTATGTTCATTGAACTGGTGCAGTTTAGTGCTGTGATGGTCACACTTGTGCCTGAAAGTTTTTTTAACACTGAACCAGCAACACAAATACTGCATGCCAACTACATTAAAAGTCTAAAATAATATTAGCAGTATGCAATTCCCTTAACAAATGTTTTATGTATTTGGATGTTTATTTATTTATTTGATTTCCACGACTGTTTGTGGGACACTGCTGTGCGTAATTGGCTACCGCGTTTCGCCCACAAATATACAGTCAATTCACTTTACAGTATATTCTGTGAAGCGCTTTGAGACGTCTAGAAGACATGAAAAGCGCTATATCAAATGCAAGGATTATTATAATTTGAATTGTTAGGACAATTGTTAATGTTAGGGAACAGATCAGTGTTCCAATTTATGTTCTAATGATTGTCGCACCCATAATAAAAATAATAATCCTTACATTTGATAAGGCTCCTTTCATGTCAAAGTGCTTCACAAGATATACTGGAAAGTGAGATAACTGTGTATTTTGTAGATTACATACACTACAAAAAATGCTGCATTGGGAACAAACTTGATTTTTTTAAAAGAAAACTTTTATCCTTTTTACATAAAATTCCAATGTCACATCAAAGTCTAAAAAAATACTGTTAAGATTGTTACTCAGCACTGCCATTGTTATTCACTTCTTAGTTCCAATAAATCTCTAAGTTAATGTACACTGTTGTTTAATATGTTGCTCTGTAACTGGACTAAATTCATGATACTCGAGACAGCAGTGAGTGTTAACACAATTTTTTTTCTACATCTCTTCCTACTCTAGGCTTTCTTCATTGGTTCTGCTACTAAGTTGGGAGAGACCATTGCAGTGTCTAGAGCCCATGAGCATATCTTTGGCATGGTTCTTATGAATGACTGGAGTGGTAAGGAATTGTGTGTCAAAAGAAAATCTATGTAACACTAGTAACCTATTTGTTAATTGGTAATCAGCCAACAAAACATTCAGAGGCATATTGTGTTCCACATTCTTGCATTATATATTTTAAGAGAATGTTGTACTCTATGTACTCTATGTCTTCAACTGGGTTGAGGAGTTGTTTGAAAAATATATCTTCTGATTACCAATGGAAGTCCCAGATAGAACCCCATTAATTTGTCCCAAACTGTTACTGCACCCTTTTTGTTATGAGAGGATTCTCACTTACATGCCCATCCTCAGGAAACCTGGCCACTCTCAAACTGTGCAGGGAGAGGGAAGGGGGTAATGTTCACTTCCATTGAAAGGGTGAAAAGCAATTTTAAAACTCAATTGATATCAATTAAAACAGCAGATACAGGGACCCAGAGAACATGAGAATCGGGTTAGTGAGCAGCTCTATTTTACAGAACCATGTGAATGGCCAGAATTGTGTATCAAAATATAATCAAGAAGAAGATTACATTTGTATAGCGCCTTTCACGTCGGGAGGACGTCCCAAATAAATATTATTGAACACCAGAGCCTTTGTTTGATGGATTAGGATATTCTGGTCTTTTGCAGCTCGAGATATTCAGAAATGGGAGTATATTCCCCTGGGACCCTTTCTTGGGAAGAGCTTTGGGACCACCATCTCACCATGGGTTGTACCAATGGAAGCTCTAATGCCGTTTGTGGTGCCCAATACTGTGCAGGTAAGTTGCAAGATGGCAGTGTGCGGTTAAAAAGTGGTACATAAAAACTGCAACAATAATTTGCATTTAAATAGCGCCCTTCACGTGGGTTAGCATCCCGGAGAGCTTTACAGCGCTTATACAGCAGGAGTAGCTTATTGCATTGCAGAATCGTGCACTGCAGTGATGTGGATAGTATTTGAATAAGATAATTGACAGTTTCATTCATCGCTGTGCTATGGGCAGAAACTTATTTTACCAGAGCCTATGTAGTATTCCAATCATTGGCCTGTACAGACCTTCCCCAGGGAGCAGGAATGGTCTGAGAGAGACAAGAAAGTTGTGATTTGTCACTTTCAAACAACTCCCATTGTGCAATTGTTTCTCTTTTGCAATACTAACAAGCCCTTGTTTATAGTAAAGTGCTAAAATCTGGAAAATATACTTGTAAAGCCTACAAATAAACATCTTAATAATAATAACAATCCTTGCTTTTGAGATAGTGCCTTAATACATAATTGAGATGACTTAAAGTGATTCACAGGATATACTGTAAAGTTGATTGACTATTTTGTGTGCTGATCTATTAACTGAGACTGAGGTTTCCATGGTAGATGATAGCATAAATGTAATATGATTATTTATTGATTAATGTTATCATTATCACTGTTTCACAAGTGTTCATTGCTTACAGGTGACAAGTGGGAGCATTACATACATTCTTTAATTATCTTTTATTTTGCAGGATCCCAAACCTCTGCCGTACTTGTGCCACAACGATCCTTACACCTTTGACATCAACCTTTTTGTGTCCATCAAAGGTATATCTTAAATTTTACTCAACAACATTCAGACTAAACATGTGTTATTTTTAATGGGTAAAGATTTATAAACCTGTGCATTAAAACTGTTTTTGTTGTATAACCGAGATGAAGGGACAAGATCCATAAGTGCCTTGAATGTGACCTCTTACGTCAAGGAGTGTGAGAAAGGAAAAAAATTAATAAGTAATTAATTGGGAAAAGCAATAAATAGCCTACTCCTGTCCTCCATGTACTGGCTATTCCACACCAGGATTTGGGTTCAAAGTACTGCAGAGTACAGAGAGAGTGGAAGGAATCCAGTCTTGAATTAGAGGGAAATACAATTGAATAGGAAAGTAGAAGATGTGTTAAAGTACGAGATGTATGGTATTTTGGGTTTGGATGTAGGAGGGAGAAAGAAGTGTATTTCAACCGGGGAGGAATGTTTATAATTTAAAGTATTAATCATAATAACACAAATAAAAATATGAGAATGAAGGACTTTCATTCTAACCTTTAATCTAATTCAATTAAAGCCAATTAAATCTAATCAAATCAAAGTTTCACATTGTTGTTTCACACCAGATCCTGCTATTTACTTTACAATGGAAAGGAAAGAACTTTCATGGTCATTCAAAGGGTAACATTTAGACTCAATAGGAAATGGAGAGCTCTCGCATTTTCAATCTCATTACATTTAGCAGTTAACAAAATAAACATTTATTCTCTAGTCAGTGATGCTAAGTATTTATGGTAAGAGGTATATTGAATGAAATTTTTTTCTGTTTCACCAGCTTTACGTATAGTATCCTTTAGGATAGTCATTTAAATGTTATATAATATGAATGCAAGAAGAAGTATTTCTACTTGCTATGCCTGTTGTTCCATTCAATCCTTTGTTACGATTTTCCAAGTGCTCCTATAACTGAGCGGGTTAAGATGTTAAAGTCCTTCAAAGTGGCCTCAAGGATGTTCTTTTGCTGGTTTTTGTAACAGGTGAAGGGATGGCTGAAATGACCAACATTTGTAAGTCTAACTTCAAGGTAAGATTTTCAGGGCCTACAACTTTTAATTGTTGTTCTCGCTGATAATTTTCTCAAGCACATGCGTTGAACATTTTGTATGATATTCTGGATAACAGGTGCAGAGCAGATGTAGAATGAAATCTATACAGTTTGTCAGGCGGGGGGATGACTGTGACCAAAATTACAGCATATGAGAATATCACCAGTAATAATATCACTTGCTGTATCCCCTCCCCTCCAACACACACACACACTTCTGAAACAATTTTTCACCCGGAGGGAAAAGGCTCATACCGATTAAACTTGGTTGCAGCTGTCAGGTTGAGTTGACATAAAACTCTGACTGGCAAAATAAAAAGAGACTTTTAATAATCTCTGGGTTGGATTGAAATTCAGCATCCAGAGTTGAAGGCCAGTGCAGTAAATCATGAATATCACCCAGTCCCAACAAAGATGGTCAGATTCAATAGCTTTTTCCAACTAAATTTAATTTTTCTTCACTCAAATGATTGTGCCTGTGAAATGAGATTGGCCATCTATCCATAAGCTTGGTGCAAGTCTTTAATTTTCCACTTTTTGCCTATGTGCTTTTATGGTACATTGCTAACTAATATGTTGTTAACACATTTAAATGTATATGTTGGCTTGTCCAGAATGGTTGCATTCGCTCTGTACAGGACGTTTACTTAATAAACATACAACAATACGACACACTTTAACCACCTGCCGAGTTGATGTGTTTCCATTTAAACTGCAACACGAGTCCTCAGCAGGAGATTCACTATTCCATTCCTGGAACAGTAATACTTGTAATTGTTTATTATACATGCACTTGTATTTCACTTTTATTTTACAGTGTGTGTTACGGTGTTTGTGGTCATGTTATATTATATGTTCTAGGAGGTCACTTGATAAGCGTGTTTTCACACTGCAAGTTAACAATTAACTAAGATTCTGCTGTAGTTGCCCTCCTTCCCTCCTCACTCAATCGCTGCGCAATTGGATTATACAAACACATTGCATGAAATATATGTTTTCTGATACAAATGATGGCTACAGATCCCATTAATATTTGAATTGACTTTACATAAGCCAGACTGCCAGACACTGCGCTTGTTTGTGATGCTGTTTTCTCCTTAGCACATGTACTGGACCATGAAGCAGCAACTCGCTCATCATACTGTTAATGGGTGTAATGTACGACCTGCAGATCTGATGGCATCTGGAACTATCAGTGGTCCCGTGAGTCTCGGTTACCTTTCACCTTTCATTGCTCGGTGTTAGTGAAATGTGATGGAAAATTGCAATAGGACCCTGGAAGCAAGACCTAATGATTGTTAGACTCATCAAGATTTGGTTTCAATGAATCTTTAATATCTTTGTGTGTATGTTGGGATGAGAGCACCGGAAAACAAGAAGAAGATGTCCGTTCAAATATAAATAACTCTTCAGAACTTTGAGACTGCTGGTGCCTTGTGTTGACAGCATGTTTACACTGTGGTGCAGAATTCACAGCAGGTTGAGGTAACAATCTGAGCATGTGCTAAATCCCACATGTGTAGTTGTTTCGAGGTTGTAAATTCTGACTATTTTCTGACTGTGGATCTTCAGCACTTGAGAATAGTTTTATATAGGTCAGCAACAACAACAAAATAACATTTGTAAAGCGCCTTTCACATTGGGAGGATGTGCCAAGGTGCTGAAGACCAAGACAGCAATGTGAAGACCACAGTCAGTAAAACACAATGGGCAAGAAGGGTTTAGTCTCTGCAGAGATGGGAGGATGATAGGGTGGGTATTTTAGAAATATGAGATCAAATAGGTTGAAGGGACTTCTTTATCGAAACCTCTCTTGTGAAATTCTTCAGCTACCAGCAGAGGTTGAATCCATTAGTCCAATCTTCCCTTTGCATGTGCATAAAAACATCTGATCTTTCATATCTACAGATGTTTCTGAAATTGGTAGCCCTGTGAAAGCGGTCAAGTACATTCTTCCAGTAAATGCTGAAACTAAGCAGATTTTTCTGAGTGAGCAATAGGTTTTGAAATGGTGACTGAAAATTACTGCTTGTGAAAGTGATTATGCACAGATACCATATTGGTCTTGATCTTCTATGCTGATAGTTGTTCTTTGATTAGTGGCCACCTGCTGATTTTGATGCAGTGAATTCTGTCGGACTTTGAATTTGATGGAATTGTGCAATGTGATTGCGTGTTACAGACGCCAGACAGCTTTGGCTCTATGTTGGAGCTGTCGTGGAAAGGAACAAAGTCGGTTGACCTTGGCAATGGACAAAAGCGCAAGTTCCTTCAGGATGGTGATGAAGTCATAATAACTGGTCAGTGAATCTTTTAACAGGTCAAACAAGGTGAAGTTCGCTCTTGTCTATTTGATTAACAAATGAACTGAATCCACTGCTGCATTTCTAATGCCTCAAACTACTGGAAAAGAAACGTTTTCACATGCTTAAAATAGTGCAAACTAAATTATGGATCCTCATCTCTTTCCATGTACCCGCTCTCAAAGAGCATTGGAGATGAAAGCCGGTTTTCACTCTGTGCAAAAGGAATACATTATCACTGCAAGTTGATTTCTTCATTTAGAGGATTTTTTTTTAAAAAAGGCCCTTTAACTCGGTGTTTAGGAGAGAGAAGAATTCCTTGCCCACAGAATTCAGAAGCCCACTGGACTTTTTGTCTTGTGAACAAATAAATCAAAGCCAATTTATGTCTTCCTTCCCACTTGTCCATACACATTTTCTCCATGTTGTCTGTTAAGGCCACAACACTGGCTTTCTGTCTGGAGGCAAATCTCGCTCCCCAACATCTGGATTGTGGTAAATGAAAGGTCTGTGTTACAGGAAAACATTACATGGACACAAATCATGTGCACTCTGGGCAATATTTGGCCCCGAGAGCAGTTTTATTTCCAAGAATTCTTCTGTAACATTTTGCAGTGTTATATTTTTAATACTGAAGGCACAGTACTTGTATGGAAATTTCTTGTACTCCCAGATGAATTTCGGATACTGAAATTGATCTGGGAGTACAAGAAATTTCTATTCATTTGTATGCATGTCATTTACCTGCACAACCAGCTTGTACACAAGTAAATAATTAATCCTCCGTGTGTCTGCTCAGTTTCTCAGTTGCTGCCAATGCCATTGGGTGTAATAGGCAGCATACAGTACTGAGAGAAGCAGCTGGGACCATCGTACAGAGAATAAGTTTTTTAAAAAAAGATTAATTCTTCCCTTTCAGTAGAGCTAATAGGGCCTTTTAACCCAGAGAATGACTGAAGCAGATGATTTGGTTCATTATATCAGTGCTGGCTATTTGAAAGATCTACATATGATTGGATATCTCCTATTTCAATGCGGAACAAAATATAGAGCAATAATTAATCTCACATTAGAAACTGATACAGCTGGTCATCGGAAGACACAAAGAACAAGAGAGGGTGAGCTGAATATGATAAGGAACAGAGCAAAGAGAGAGAAAGGATGGAAGTGGACATGATGGGCTGAATGGACTTCTTCTGGGCTGTACATTTCTATGAATATGTTGTTGAATGGAGCAATGACACATAATGGGGGAAGAAATGCAGTTCTCCCAAGTATCTTCAGCACTTTGTATGGCACGTTTGGCTTGCATTGTATCTGTCTTGACTGTAAATAACAATTTGAAATATAAAACTATATTTAACTCAGTACAATTATTTGCTCATTTTGGCCTCTTTTGAATCTCCAGGCTATTGCCAAGGTACTGGATATCGAATAGGATTCGGACAATGTACTGGAAAAGTGCTTCCAGCGATTCAGATGTAATGCATTGGGCATCTTCTGAACAGGATCAAATGAGGAATGCTGCCTATTTTCCAATAATGCCTGAACAGTTTAATTCTTGCAAATGTCATGTTCCCTCAATTTAAGAATCTATCTCAATCGCCAAAGTAAATAGTAACATTGCTGTGAATATTTACTGATAATAGTATTCTGAATAACCCACAAGGTCACTTATTATTAAGCACTTGTAGAAACAAAAACAAAAAAGTATAACTCTTAAATAAAAATTGCCATTTAATCTACTGATTTTTTTTTCAACGGCAATTTTTACATCACGGGACACAAAATTAATCCTACAAGCTAAGAATCAGTCAAAAAAAATCGTCTACTGCCTTGTATTCCTATAAATACCGTAGAATATTTCTGCAATGGACTAAAATATTGGCAAAAGCAGTGACTATTTGAGATTTAGTCCCAATGTTGGGTTAAAGTGCATTGATTGGGTGTTGATAGAAAGAACACAGCATTTCACATGCACTGCTAAGGAGCAACCCTGTCTGAGTGTCTGAAATCAATATAAATTGCTCTTCAATTGAAATGACTGTCTTTGCAGAGTTATTCTGTTCTAACAATTGGCACAGAGCAATCAAGAGCAGTGCATTAAATTGGAGCAAGGAAAACTCACTAATATTGATTTTGATACAGCCATTGAGACTGCTTATAAATCTAAGCATTATATTAACTACTACAGCAGAGGATTGCACTAATGTTATGGCCCAGAACTCTTAACATTTTAATATGTATGTTGGGAAACATGAAATTATTCTAATTTTTAGAATATAGTTGTTTTTAACAAAATTACCAGAATTTCGTCAAGGTGGGTAAATACTTGTCGGTATTGAATATCGGTTGCAGTGAGAGCATTCCCATAGATGTCACTGTGCTTTTGTGATGGAGCTGACTAGATAATGAAATGTATCTGTTTTAAAATAGTAGGGAAACTTACACAGCACAATTATGTTTTCAGGTAGGAGGTATCTTCATATGAAATCTTTGACAAACTCCGCCATGTTTTTGTATTGGGGTTTAATTTGCAACATGTGCTAACTGTGCCTCCTGGCTTGTGAATATTGATTGCATGGATTTGTCAACTGTCAGGATTTGCCTTTTACAGATCTCATAGTTTAGTATTCGTAAATTGGAAACCAGCAATTAGTGCATTGAATTGTCACACTAAAATTGCTTTCAGATCCAATGCAACAACAACAACTTGCATTTATATAGCCCCCTTCACACGGTGTAGTGTCCTGGAGTGTTTTTACCTCCAATGTCCTGTGAACTCGAGGCACAATAAATCAATGGTGATTTCTCCATTACAGTTGGTTTCAAACTATCCAAAGCACAGGTGACCACAGCACTACTGGAGTCCTGTAGCTCAGTGGTTAGAGCACTCGCTGTGCAAGCGAGAGACCTGTGTTCAATTCCAGGCAGCGCGAAACCTTGGGCAAGTTTCCTTACTCCACATGCCTAATAATAATCCCTCCAAAAAACAATAATAAATTGGTCATTTTCAATCCACGACCGTTTGTGGGACATTGCTGTGCGCAATTGGCTGCCGCGTTTCGCCCACAAAAATACGATCAATTCACTTTGCAGTCTATTCTGTGAAGCGCTTTGAGATGTCGAGGAGACGTGAAAAATGCTATATCAAGTGCAAGGATTGTTATTATTATTTAGCTGGACGCCAAAGCAACAGCATATGATGTTTTTCAATAATAACACGGTTCACCCATTAAGATGTTTCTTAGCAATTCAGACAAGATCAGTCAAGCTTCAGTGCACTTCAGTAGATTTCATTTTTTGTTTATAATAGACCTAAACACTGTTATTTTCTTTTTGGAATAAGGAAGTGACAATGAAACTTCCAATCAGCAATAACATTGTGCAGGAACACAAATGCAACAACAACTTGCATTTATATAGCCCCCTTCACACTGTGTAGTGTCCTGAAGTGTTCTTACATCCAATGTCCTGTGAACTCGAGGCACAATAAATCAATGGTGATTTCTCATAAGATTTCTGGCACTCGCCAGTTTACTGAGTTGTACAGAAATAATGTGATATTCCCAATCTCTTCGGTACATCATACAATAGATTGAGCTTTACAGTTTTTTTTAAAGGTTGTTGGGGGCACTGTATAATTTTCAGTGAGGAAATCTATTCATGAAACTTTTAAACAGCTATTATCTGTAAATGCAATCTTAGTTTGTGTTGAAGATATTGATTCAATCTTGATAATTGTAACTTTTATCGTAACAGGACAATAAAGGCACTAAAAACACTGAACATTTTGTAATTGAAAAGCACTTCTATAAAAGTTAAACTCCTTAGACTGGTCCTTTTTATGGGCCATCTTAGCTCTCAATGTGTGGATTCCATAAAATATAAGGAGAGCATGGCTGTACGGTGATTCATTGCACCTGATATCGGCCAAGTGTAAATGGCCACATAACTCACAGGAGATTTGCTCATGGATAATAGCAGGTACTTTCCTCGAGTGAGAAAACTCCAAAAATCAAGAGCTAGCAAATGGTTTGGATTCCATATTCTACATTAATCTGCTATATTATTAAATCTGTGTCCTGATTTTAATTCACGGGAAATGAAACAAACAACCGTTCTTTCAGAATATCTTTCCAAATGGTTTTCAGTACATTTATCCAATTATTTTTCTAATAGAATTTGTGAAATCCGCAGAACAGAAAGATTTGTGTTCATCAACTGGCCTTTCACTGTAATGGAAGAAATCCAAATTTCTTGGTGTTCCGGTAAAACCCATAAGTGTCATGATCGCTCCCAAGGTGAACAATAAAATGTGATAGATTATCTCTTAAATATTCAGCTTTCTTTGATTTATTCCCCGAGCCTCACTGAGTAACTTATTTCATGGCACAGGCTGATGTTTTTCTGGAATTAGTCTACACCAGCAGATTAATTTCAGACCAGGGCCATCTTCACATCCAAGCTGCAGTTGGATTTGTTATCTCATTGCTGGAGGAGTATTATTAATATTGTACTATGTTTTCAATGCAGTATCCACTAAGCAAACAGACAAGGTTACAAAGCTCCATTTCAGAACCCATTGCAAGCTAAGGTCAATAAATCAAGTGTATTTTAAACTCAGTATCTGAAAGTGAATGAAATCCTTTGAGGATATTAACCTGAGCCAAGGGTTTCAATTTTCAGCTGTGCTACAGCAGAAGTATGATCAGGTTCTATCCTCATTAATAGCACATACATCACTCAACACCCAATATATTGTGCCATTGAGAATATTATTTGATGAATGACATGTGAATGTGTCCTTCAGGTTGTTTTCTTATAGTAGCCTACTTACAGGTATCTTCACTGCTCTTAAGACAGTGTTAGGTAATGTTATGGCTGAAGCTACTTTAGATTCCATCTGACATCCAAAGCTTTTCATTTCTGGCTTGCTTTTTCATAATTGCTAGGGCAAGTTCTCTCCACTGAACATTAATGGCAGATCCCGGTCTGTTTCCTAAGGCATTCTTGAAGGTTATATTTTTTCAACAAGTTTCACCCGCTCAGATTAAAAATAAACAAACACCTTTATCTGTATATGTTTCGAATTAATTTAATTGCAGTGTTCAACGTCTCAAACTAGCAACTTACAAGTGTTACCTAAGAAGATTGGTAGACATAGCATGGGTGCATTGTAACATAAGATGGTCAGTTGTAGTAGGCAATGTAATAGGCCATAAAAATGGATGAGATTAATACTTGCAATGGAGGGGGAAGAATTGGAGTCTGGAACAATTGATGTATTCAGTCCTAAATACTGTGAAAACATTATCTGTCTACCTGGTTAAAGAGGGAAACATGCTGTGGGATTTTAGGGGAGTTTAAATGGAGTCATTAATATAGCAATATATTGCATATACATAATAAAATACCAACCTCTCGTTAAAACATATTCCTACATGAAAGCAGTCAGCCAGAGGTTTATAACACTAGAAAATAGCAAATTTGTTACATATTCACCGGGGAGACAAAGTCATAATTTGCTTTTCAGTAGATCAGGATCCCTAAGTATTTAATGGAATAAATAGCTCATTTTAACTCATTTTACATTACATCAGATCCATGCCTTATAAAGGCATGGATGTCTGCAGGGAAAACTGGGATTATGAAAAATAAAATGGTGTTAAATGTGTATTGGATAGCAAGAACTGCTAATTATGTTGGAAATGATTCCTCCTACGGAATTATTTCAGACTAAAGTCAGTGCTTGAAAAAATACAATTTATGGAATTATGACGTGCATCTACTGCTAAAAAATGTCTGAACAGAATCCGGGACTGGAATACATGAATCTGTTTGCTGTTACGTTCTTTTCTTATCTAAAACTTCAAGACTATCACTTGATCACATAAAAGAATATGCTCACTCCAACTGCAATATATCCAAATGCCAAAAATGTGTAGCAATGGTATTGACAGTTAATACTTCACGCAGCAGAGTCCAAGTTGTGTGTGTGATAGCATTGTCAGATTGTTCTGCATTTCACTTTTTAAGTAGTACTGACAGTAACATTTAATCTTAAAGGACTTTTTACTAAACCAAGTTATTAATGATGATTTCAAAGCAATGAGACATATAGACACCAAGACAATTGACTCATTGCCACTATTTTCATTGAGACATACAGTCATGCCAAAGAATTAAATGAAAACGTACTCTTAATCAATTCACTCTTAACACTGACTTTCTTACCTGCTTAAATTGGTTAAGAAAAAAATCATTTCAATTTTGTTTAAAATAAAGGGTTTAGAGAATGTTACATTTTACCCACAAAATATACAGTCAATTCACTTTACAGTATATTCTCTGAAGCGCTTTGAGACATCTTAATGATGTGATAAGGCGCTGTATCAAATGCAAAGGTTATTATTATTGAAAACTGGTGATTTAACAGTGTTTGTTCAATAATACTGCAGTTAATATTGCCTGCACAGGTGCAATAAGGACCTTGCTTCTGTAGCAGTGTGAGCTGGGAATGCACACTTATACTGCCTGCTTTCTCGACTAATGGATAATGGAGGTCTAGGAGCACACGTTCAGACTAGAGGCCTGTGGTTTTGATTCATTAGATTAAGTTTTGGCTGTGTTTTCATTGACTGCTGATTGGGCTCAATTGACACTGGTGCTTGAGAAGATGAATTGCTTTTTTTAAATTAACAATTTAAGTGGCAAGAGGTCAGTGGAGCGAGTGTGTGATCCACAGAGTAAGGTGTTAATAATGGGAGTTTGGGCTGAGGTACAGATGGTCATAAGCTACAAGTCAAAGGTCAGTTGTGAAATGTTTGTGTTCCTTATTTAGTCTCTGTGATGAGTGCAATAGTTGGAAATATAAGAATGACAGCAGATAATAATTCTTGAATTTATATACAGCCTTATCAAGTCATCAAAATGTCTCAAAGCTCTTCACATGATTTACTCTCAAGTGTAGTGACTGTATTTAATAATAATCCTTAAATTCGGTATAGCTCCTTTCATGTCAGGAGGACGTCTCACAGCGCTTCACGGAATTTTACTGTGGAGCGTATTTGTAGATGAACGTGGCAGCACATTTTGTATGTTCTAAAAGAGCTGATAGAACCATCAGTTTGTAGGAAAGAGAAACATAACCTTTTGTGTTGCCTTTTCTTTTCTGTGTCAATTGTAGTTATATTGGAGTTGCTCTGGGACAAAGCTGATGTGTTGGAAGGCTCTCTAGGCTTGCACTGATATTGAAGCTGATATTGGGACGTCCTCCTGACGTGAAAGGCGCTTTATAAATGGAATCTTGTTGTTGTTGTTGAAGCTACTGACTGTCAGTGAACATTTAGTGACAGCACAAAATAAATTCTCTGCTTGAGTTCAGTGCTTAAAGTGAAGTATAATAACACTGCAGATGGTGAAAGTTTGCCTGGGTTCAGAATAACTTTGTGATTTGTTCATTAAATAACCCTGAGACTGTGCAGCTTACAGAAGTGGAACTGCAGTACAGTTGTTTATCAGTGTTGTTTAATACTGCTGTCATTTGCTGGCAATAATGATGGAATTATGTAGGTGATTGATACACCACAACAATAAGTCTTTACATATTCTGCTGTCTTCGTGTTTCGGAAGAACCCTCTATTTCATTGGACAAGTCAATATTTTCTAAAGTGCTGAGTCTGAAACCTACAGATTTAATGACTCACAGCCTGGAAATAAACAAGGTCTTTACTTTAAAAACGGCAGTCAGTAAATTCATGATGAGTTGTCACACACTTGTTGATATTGTGGCACCTGAAGATTTGAACCTCTATTGTAAATCCTGAAAATTACATTTTCTTTTTGTGTCTGTACAATGCTGTTTTCCAATTTTTGCAAATAATGTTCACTTCCACAAACTGGTACAAATATAAGTGTTGCTTTTATTGTTTTCTACATCATTTTGTTTCATTGCTAGCCTCCACTTTATGTGGTGGCCAACTGGCTATTCATCTGCTTGACAAAGTGCTCTAATCCTGTTTGTAGCTTGACGATCAAGGCAGAAAGGCTCACTGCTCTGTATTTTTCTGTAAAAAGGAATTTCTGGATCAATATTAGAACTGACTACATATTCTCAAAATGCCATTTGTCTAACCTTGTGAACTGACCTGTACTTCCCTGGCTTCCCAAAAGCATCAGTTGCAGTCTCCAGTGAAGTGGCAAATTCAACGTGATGTGCTGAAGTCTTAACCAGTGACTGAAAAACGGATGTGTTTTAACTGCTAATGCAGCATCAAATGCAGATTGATAAATGTTCAACTAAGCTGGGAACACGTATCTGAGATTCAAGTCATTCACGGATGGGATTGCTTCAAGCGCTTAAGTTAAATTTAACATGACCCCCAATGTGTGGTATTGCTGGATGAAACCAAACTTATAGGAAGGTTTGTTACACTCTTGAACTCTACAGTTTTCACAAAAAATATTAACACATTGAAAACTGATTTTTACTTTATTTTAATGGAGTAAACCTCTTCATTGCAAATGCAACATGAAACAGGTTTAAATTACGGGAAGGTATTGAATCGAATTTGTGGCATTAAAACGCCTGACCTTGCAAAAAATCCTTTCATTTTTCCAAGATCAGAGGAAGTTCCAGATGTTCTCAACAAAGCACTTAAAAATGGCTTTGATATTCTCTGATCACAGTAGTTAAAACAGTTGTTTGTGTCTAAATTGAAAGAGCTCTGGATTAGCTCAGTGATGACCAATACTGGTGTGTGATATTAGCTGTGATTAATAGTCAAGGACAGAATAAGGTCTTTAACTCGATCACAAGATTGGTTCAGATGAAGCAAGCCCTTGAGCCTATCTAACCTCATCAAGAATACCCACTATCCCATCACAGTATCAAGCTGCTTTTTTTTTTTGAATGAGTCCAGTTTCCTGGCCTCAACCATCTTCCCTGACATCCAGTTCCACAATGGTTGAGGCCCATAAGAAAGGCTGATCTGCTTTCAGTCACTACATTCCGAAGCTCTGGAACTCTCTCTCCCAATCCCTCCACCTTGCCCCCTCCCTTCCCACTTTCAAATCCCCACTAAAGACCTTCCCTTTTGGTTGTGCTGACAATCACATCCCTCTCCCCCGGCTCGAGGTCAGACTCCTCCACTATTATGTGTTCCATGACTGCTACCCCATATCTATATTTTTTTCTCTAGAATATAGAAGAATTAGAAGGGATTTTACAGAAACCTATAAGATCATCAAAGGTCCTGATAAATAGTGGGAGATTGTTTCCCCTGGTTGGAGAAACTAAAACCAGGGGTCACAACCTTAAAATCAGAGGCAGCCCTTTCGCACTGAGTTGAGGAAGAACTTCTTCACTCAAAGGGTGGTGAATGTATGGAACTCACTACCCCAAAGGGCTGTTGACGCTCAGTCCTTGAACATATTCAAGACTGAGATAGATAGATTTCTTATTGCAAAACGGATTAAGGGATATGGGGATAAGGCAGGGTCAGGTTATTAGCTGGAGTTGGTTAGAAGATCAGCCATGATTGAATGGTGGGGTAGGCTCGAAGAGCCGAATGGCCTACTCCTGCTCCTACATGTTATGTTATGAAGGGTGATATACAAATGCAAGTTGTTGTTGGTGGATTTTCTTTTTATTTAACGTTAAAAAACACTGTTTCAAAGAGTGTAAAGCAACAAAAAAGTGCACAGGCCTTTCAGATGCTGTACAGTCTTTACTGAACTATCAAACTACCAATCTATTCCTATCCAATCCTCAAAAGACTGCAATTCAATACATGATTTGCAATGAGACCTTCAAATGATTCTACTTTATTACTCACTGCTATATATGTAAATATCTTTGGTTTAATTCATGAATGAAAGTGGGAAAGCAGATTAGACACAGAATTAAAATTTGATCCACTTACTTCGAAGAGAGAGAGAGTTGGGTTTTTGAGTATATAAGCCTTTTTTTTTTATGGAACTTTATTACATGAAAGAGTATGTATAGCCATTAGCTTGTTTCTTTAATTTCAAGGTCCTGGGAGAAAGGAGCCGTATACTTCAAACTCTAAGATTTATAACTTATTGTTCATCAAGGTCTAATTTGTGTCGTCCATGTGTAAAGGACATAACTGGTGTCTGAATTTATGTAATTCACCCATGAAACTGATCACAGGTGCTGCCTTTGTCTGTCTGTAGATGCAGATTCCAATCCCTTGCTTTGCTTAGGTCAGTATAATACACACGAATGCAAGTATGCCCTTCCAAAACAATGTCATTGCCATTGTAATGCCAACAAAAATAAGAAGAGATCTTGGAACATGGTATAGCGCAGCCTGAGTGTGTTCTTTATGATGGTTAATACCATTAATGTTCAAAGATAAAATACGTTTTCGTCCTATCTACTTCTCAGGCCTCAGAATCTGCATAATGTATCAGATATATTGTTTACTGATCCGGGGCATTGTATTATTTAAAGAAAAGAGATGTTTAAAATAAACATGACATGTTTGCTGAGGCACTTATTCACATGCATTCAGTGAACAATTTTGTTGTGTTACGTTCAGTGCTTATGTTAAGTCCTGCGTTGAAGGTAAACTGCCCATTCCCACTCTCTTTGTTTAAGTGCATAGATAGGAATCGTTCCATTTTCTTCTGTTCAACATTGCACTTCATCGTCCAGGTGCTGCTCCTCCCAGGTGGATGTGGGAATGGCTTTATAGGGATCCATTATCACTTTTGCACAGCGGATAATCATGACAATCAAGAAGAGGCACAGAAAGACAAAGCCAGCTAATGTTAATCCTTTGTCCACATCCACATAAATGGGTTCTGGTGTTGCACTTTCCATTGTTTTTGCCTTTCTTTGCCAGTTTCTGTGGGCACTGCTACCATCCTGATACTCCTGAAAGAACATATAGGAACAGGTTATTTAATGCATCTCCATTTTATTTCACAGAGCTATCCCTTCCCCAGATAGGAGAATGGATGAGTAAATTGCTGAATCCTCCATCTGCTTCCTGGATCAATCATCAGAAGGTGTGCATGTACCTTAACATATTTTTCCCCTCTCCTCCCCCCCCTCAATAGGATGCTCTGTTGCAGCTTTGCATAGAAACAACAGGATCCATTACATCCCCTGATAAAAGGGGGGATCTATTTTGCAGTGTATTTAATACCATTCTTTCATAACTTCTTCAAATTGCCGATTGGGACTTCTTTACTGTGACCTTTAGAATTTGTGCTTTAGATCATTGCCAGAGTTCCAAATCTCATACTTCCATTCATCAAAAGAAGTTCCCATTTGTATCTGTGTTCAGTTGTTAAGGAATCATACAAAGAAACAGTAACACTGGTTAGTCACCAGTGGAATACGATTGACTCTCACAACTATCACCTCAAACACATTGTCACCAGTACAAACATAAGGCAATATTTCAGGATTTTAGCAATCTACAATCCATCCAGGCTCGACCCAGATGCTTGGTTCAAATGTACTTTAAATTTTATGATATAAAGCCACACCTGCAAGGATGTTTTTTCATGCTGGGATGCTGAAAACCCTTTGCAAGTTAAACACATTTCACTAATACTGGAATTTGATTTGAAAGATGTATTTCGGATAACGGCTGTATAGCTACTGGAAGTAATGTGTCCCAGACCCCAGCAAAACCAAATGGCATGATCTCATTTATGCTGTGATTAGTTTTTCAGGATGCTCCAGTGCCCTTGATGCTTGACCCAGTAATATGCACTTTGAAACAACTATAAGTCATCTTGATTCCCTTCCTCATTGGGTAGATGTTACACTAAATAAATTGTAAGTACAATTTATATTGAGCTTAAAATAATGTGTATCAAGGTACCCTATCAGCAGAACCACAAATCTGTAATCACTTTAAAGTATATGGTTTTCCACAGTACTGCGAGAAAAGTCAGCTTTATTTGGACTCCCGCCACTTGGTATAAAAGATGAGGTGGTTACCTTGAATCCCAAATCATTTGCTTGCGCTGTTATTATAGTATAATGTAGTGCATTATATGGTATGTACTGAAATAGTTTTACTGTGGCAATTTGAAAATAGGATGATCTTGAACAGAGAGTAAATTTCTCCTGGTGTCCTGGACTACTATCCCCCAGATAAAATTGTTTGGTTGTGGGGTGTTGCTGTGAGTAAATGACTGCCATGGTCGTTCCCAAAATGCAGTCACTACACTTTACAGTAATTCTGCCATGCAATCCTGCAAGACACATTCCTGATCTGAAACATAACAATAGGAGGAAGACAAAGTGTCTATAATATGAGGTAGACACAAAGGATTCAGCTGCCTGTTGTTGTACATCTCCCTAAAGCCAGTTGCATTGCCAAAGGTTTGGGATTTGGATATAGCCCAGAAAAACCAAAAGTGTAGGGGGTTGGTGAGTGGGGTAGAAGGAAATACAATGGATCGATGCACTAGAGGCTATGTTACCATCTTTCCACTCCTGTAGATATTTCTGGAAAAAAAAATGCCCCCATGATTGGAAAAGAAAATTCATCAAAATTCCCTGAGTTTCGGAGCTTCAAATTGGTTTTCTTCTGATTTGGAATTCATTTCACTAGCATTATTTAATTGTTCAGTGTAATTCAGGTTTAATTCCTTATCTGCAAGAAATGTTTATGGTGCACGGTATTGATCATGCTCAGCTTCATGACTCTTGTACATCTCTGCGATGAGTTATGAAGGTGTGCAGCTTTTGATAATTACAGCCAAAGGGGCCTGTATGTGCAATGATAATAGGCAAACTCAGCTCAAAAAAATTTATAGCTGACTTTAGCGATATCGCTTAAGTGTTCCAATGCTCACTTCTGGAGGACAAGCAGTTCCCGTTAATAAAGTTTTTAATGCATTCCTCAACCAGTCCAAAAATAATTAACTATCAGCACTTACGATTCCATGTTACGGTTGAACGCAAAGCTCAAGAGAATTGGACAAACATTGTGAACAAGCGAGAACTTTATAATGTAATATATTTTACATTGCACTGGATGTCTTGAGGGGGTTGGGATGGATGAGGGAGAGAGGGGAGAAACATTTTGAGTTCTGTTCAATGAATTCTTCTTTAGGCGTTTCTACTGCAATTGAACAACAATTCAATCACCCGACCAGGCACATCCAGAGAGACTTTGGCAGGTTCTTGTATTTAACAAAGAAGGCATTGCTTCGAAATAATGTAATGCCAAATTTCATTTGGCACTATTCATCACTGACTAACTATAACCGTCTGTTGCCTGCAGTGTGTGCTTTTACTGATTATTTCCAAGGTTTCACCCTTAAAAGGTTACTTGAAGGAAAGGTGCAATTGAACAGCACAAGAGATATTGTAGAAAATCATTATTATTTCACTTTTATGAAGTATTGTGTGTGGGGGGGGGGGGTGGGAAGCATGGGAATCCACCAGTGCTCTGGGAATAGGGAGTATTCTTAAATAATATGGAAGATTAAGACTTTTTATATTTGCATTAATTTGCTGCTACTTTTCTATTGCATTGTACCACTGGTTGAATTTAAAGTGAAAGTCGAGGCACATTGCACAAATTTCCTTTTTAACTAAGCACACAACTTCTTAATGAATGCTATTTTATAGCATTCTAGTTTATAAAATTTCAATAAGAACTCACTGCTGATTTGCACAGACCGTATATCTATATATGAGTTAACTGCTGCAATACTGCATCTTGCATGAATAAAGCTCAATGCATGTGGAGGAACAGAATTCAAGCTTAGAAGAAAGTCTTAATCATAATAGAATCATTTTTATAAGGTTACAATTTTTTGGCAAATATTTCCGCTCTTTTCTATTGGCCCAGACAATAAGCCACAGTGCTGTATTATTAATATTGGGTTAGCCTATATATCAACAATTTGCATTTATAAGGTGCCCTTCGTGTAGAATAATGTCTCAGAATGCTTTCAAAGACTGAGGCAGATGCTATGCAGCGAGAGGGGAAAGGGGAAGATGACCATAGGAGCAGTCGAAGAGGTAATAATACTTGCATTTTATATAGTGCTTTTCACATCTTCTAGATGTCTCAAAGTGCTTCACAGAATATACTGTAAAGTGAATTGACTGTATATTTGTGGGCGAAACACGGCAGCCAATTGTGCACAGCAGTGTCCCACAAACAGTTGTGGATTGAAGTGACCAATTTATTATTGGTTTCTTTTTCTTGAGGGATTTTTATTCCAGGAAAAGCGATCCGCCAATCAACTAACAACCAGGTTCCTACTTACTGCTTGGTAAACAGAGGTGTATGGAGTAAGGAAACGTGCTCAATTTCATCCTCCCGGAAATCAAACCTAGGTCATCTCGCTTGCGAGGCGAGTGCTCTAACCACTGAGCTACACAATTCCACAGGTAGATTTTAAGGTGGGATTTAAAGACAAATAGAGGGGCCGAGATGGAAAGGGTGGAGGGAGGGAGTTCCAGAGATTAGGGGCATAGACTCTGAAGGCTCAACTGTTGATGGGTGGCAGCAAAGCCAAGTTAACCTGAGGAGGTGGGGGGGGGGGGAGAGAAGATTCAGAGAAATAGGAATGTGCTAGGCCCTAGAGATTTATAGATGAGCTTGGGGATCTTGAGATCGATCTTCAGAGTGAATGTGGAGCCTGGCAAGGACTGGACTAATGGGAGTGCAGAAATTTGTGCCATCTGAAAACATCTAACGAAGTCAAAGTATATTTATTAAAACAAACCCCAGCTGATAGATAATCAATATGTCCAACACTGGCATTTTCAGCAAAACTAGGTTAGTCGATAATACGCTATCTGAATGTCACAATCCGACATAAAGGCTTGAAGTTCTATTACGTGGAGGAGAACAAGGTTATAAAGAATGTCTCATAAAAATCTCAGGGCGCAGGAATTTTCAGATCAATTTTTTGCCTAATAAATTCATTTTTAGCAGGTTTACTGTTCTGATAGTGTTGGATTAGGTAATTCTGTTTTGCCCAGACAACCCAATAAAATTCAATGCCACCACACTAAGTGCAATCAAATTAAAATCTTCTCACTTTACTACCAGAATGAACTAATCGTGCATTATATTACTGTGAAAGTACTGACAAGGACAGCCAAACCTGATAGTAGTGTTAAACGGAGCGCTTTATTATCTCTGAATTTTACAGTACTAAAATGTACAGCACTTCCTTTCCTGTGCTGAGAATGCCCTCTGCACATGAGTGCAATTAGTTTGAGTGTTTCACACTTACTCTGTCATTGGAAATTCCTATCTGATAACTGGAGCACTCACATTGTCACTGAGTCCCTACTACGTTAAGTAAAACTATTCCAAAAAAAAAGTTTGTCTCGTGGTCTATTGGGAATATCTGATCCATAGGAGAGGGTGTGTGGACAAAGCATATCATTGCATTCATTATAGATTATATTGTTCTTTCAACCGAGAATCTTTTCAATTACTTTGGTGTTACTTACTGTGTACACAGGTGCTTGTGGCTTGAGTTTAGTCTGAACAAGCATTCAGCCTTATACTGTAACAGTTACTTATCAATACACCATAACTACATCAAGTTCTACACGATCAACAGTTATTTCTGATGCTGATGCAGTGCGAACATGTTACGATATCTTGCAATCACACTAGTTTCAAAGTCACTGAGTATTTTCTTTCCATCCAGCCAACTCTTTACTGCATGCAACTAATATTGGCACGTTTATTAGATTTCATAAATCGGTCTTCTCTTATTCATTCACTTAGCACAAATCATCCTCTGAACATATTAAGTCTCTTAATGAAATGTTGCCTAGAGGCAGCTGCACTGTGCTAGTCTGCAGTTTTAGCATTTGTTGGGCAATGAGTGTGCAATAGAGTTTCCTGCCGTAGGTATTAAAATGTGCCATTA